ATGGGACTTAGTAAGTAGGTTATAATTGGGGTTATAAGTCCCCTAAGTGGGGTTATCCTAATTATAAGCTACTTATAACCTTACTTACTAATCCCCTCCCCCTTTTATTAAAGGACCCCCTAATTATAAAAACACTTTTCCCCCGATCCACCCGGAAGTAGCACCGCCCTTTAAACCCTAATTTGAATTAGGGGGAAGGTTTAGGGTCTATAGATTGAGGGTTTAGGGGGAAGAATTATAATTGCATGACTCAGCAACTGCTCAATTGAGCCGCATGAAAAGCTTTATTAGCCAAGCCTTTATTGAAGCCTATTTTTTTAATGCGTATTTAGATTTAGTGTGTATTTGCACGGATTTGTGTATTTGCACGGATTTAGTGTGTATTTGCACGGATTCAGTGTGTATTTGCACGGATTTAGTATGTATTTGCACGGATTCACGGATTTAGATGTATTTGCACGGATTCCGTGTGTATGTGCACGGATTTGGTGTGTATTTGCACTCACGTCCTGTGTAGTTGCACGAATTTAGTGTGTATTTGCATGGATTTGCACGGATCGTGAGTATTTGCACGCAGTATTTGGTGTCTAATTACAGGGATGTAGTGTGTGTATTTGCACAGATTCCGTGTGTATTTGCACGCATTTACTGTGTGCCTGGTGTGTAGTTAGAGGGATTTAGTGTCTTTACACGGATTTAGTGTGTGTTTGCATGGATTCGGCGTGTATTTGCACGGATTCAGTGTGTATTTGCATGGATTTGGTGTGTATTTGCACGCATTTCGTGTGTATTAGCACGAACTTGGTGTGCATGTGCACGAACTTCGTATGTCTTTGCACGGTTTAATCTGCATTTGCACGGATTTGGTGTGATTTGCAACCCTTATAATAGCGTTTCTTAAGTCTCCAGAGAGCCCAGAGCTTCAGGTCACCCCAAAATCTCGATTCCGGGTGGGGAAAGGGCCCAAATGACACCCCCCGGGATTGAGTCCGCAGCCTTTGCGAGAAGGGCTTTGGAGGCAGACGTTTACCCATTAGGCCATGGCCAGATAGTTCTGGGGGCTGGCGGCTGCCTCCCTAGGGGATTTGGGCACGGTCGCAGGCCCAATTCTGGCGGTGTCCCCGTGGGCCCTTTCCCCATCCAGAATCGAAATTTGAAATGACCAAAAACCGCCAAGAGCACAACCAAACCCGCCGAAAACCGCGCAAACCCACCAAAACCCTCCCCTGTGCAAGTTCCCAACTCAACAGCAGTGGCAGAGGTTGAAACCAGCAGGTTTTGCTGAGGTTTGAACCAGCAGGTGCAGAGGTTGTGAACCAGCAGGTTTTGCAGAGTTTGAAACCAGCAGGTTGCAGAGCGTCGAAAGCTTGCAGGTGCAGAGGTTGAAAGCAACAGGTGCAGAGGTTGACAGCAGCAGGTTGCAGAGGTGAAGCAGCAGTTTTCCAGGAGGTGGCAGAGGGGAAACCTGCCGGGTTTTGCGAGGTGGAACAAGCAGGTTGCAGAGAGGTGAACCAGCAGGTTGCAGAGGTTTGAACCAGCAGGTTGCAGAGATTGAAGCAGCAGGTTTGCAGAGGTTGAAGAGCAGAGGTGCAGAGGTTGAAGCACAAAGCAGGCTGCAGAGGTTTGAACCAGCAGGTTGGCAAGGTTGAACCGCAGGTGCAGAGGAGAGGTTATTGAAGAGCATGCAGGTTGCAGTGGTTGAACCAGCAGGTTGCAGAGGTTGAACCAGCAGGTTGCAGAGGTTGAAGCAGCAGGTTGCAGAGGTTGAAGCAGGAGGTTGCACAGGTTGAACCAGCAGGTTGCACAGGTTGAACCAGCAGGTTGCAGAGGTTGAACCAGCAGGTTGCAGAGGTTGAACCTGCAGGTTGCAGAGGTTGAACCAGCAGGTTGCAGAGGTTGAAGCAGCAGGTTGCAGAGGTTGAAGCAGCAGGTTGCAGAGGTTGAACCACAGCAGGTTGCACAGGTTGAACCAGCAGGTTGCAGAGGTTGAACCAGCAGGTTGCAGAGGCAGAGGTTGCAGCAGCAGGTTGCACAGGTTGAACCTGCAGGTTGCAGAGGTTGAACCTGCAGGTTGCAGAGGTTGAAGCAGCAGGTTGCAGAGGTTGAACCTGCAGGTTGCAGAGGTTGAAGCTGCAGGTTGCAGAGGTTGAAGCAGCAGGTTGCACAGGTTGAACCAGCAGGTTGCACAGGTTGAACCAGCAGGAGGTTGAACCAGCAGGTTGCAGAGGTTGAACCTGCAGGTTGCAGAGGTTGAACCTGCATGTTCCAGAGGTTTGGTGGGCTTGCGCGGTTTTGGGCGGGTGTGGTTGTGCTCTCTTGGCGCTTTTGGTCATTTCAACATTTCGATTCTGGATGGGGAAAGGGCCCAAAATGACACCGCAAGAATTGGGCCTGCGACCTCTCCCAAAACTACTAGGAAGGTGCGCAACCTTTCGCAAAACTATCTGGCAATGGCCTAATGGGTAAGTGTCCGGCTCTAAAGCCTTCTTGGCAAAATTCGTGGGCTCAATCCCCGGGGGCGTCATTTAGGCCCTTTCCCCACCCGGAATCGAGATTTTGGGGTGGCCTGAAGCTTTGGGCTGTCCGGGGACTCTCTAGAGCGGACTGGGTGCACATCCGGCTTTCGTGGGGCAGGTTGCAGAGGTTGAACCAGCAGGTTGCAGAGGTTGAACCAGCAGGTTGCAGAGGTTGAAGCAGCAGGTTGCAGAGGTTGAAGCAGCAGGTTGCACAGGTTGAACCAGCAGGTTGCACAGGTTGAACCAGCAGGTTGCAGAGGTTGAAGCAGCAGGTTGCAGAGGTTGAAGCAGCAGGTTGCAGAGGTTGAACCACAGCAGGTTGCACAGGTTGAACCAGCAGGTTGCAGAGGTTGAACCAGCAGGTTGCAGAGGCAGAGGTTGAAGCAGCAGGTTGCACAGGTTGAACCTGCAGATTGCAGAGGTTGAAGCAGCAGGTTGCAGAGGTTGAAGCAGCAGGTTGCAGAGGTTGAACCTGCAGGTTGCAGGGTTGAACCAGCAGGTTGCAGAGGTTGAACCACAGCAAGTTGCAGAGGTTTAACCAGCAGGTTGCAGAGGTTGAACCAGCAATTTGCAGAGGTTGAACCAGCATGCAGAGGTTGAAGCAGCAGGTTGCAGAGGTTGAACCAGCAGGTTGCAGAGGTTGAACCTGCAGGTTGCAGAGGTTGAAGCTGCAGGTTGGTTGCAGAGGTTGAAGCAGCAGGTTGCAGAGGTTGAAGTTGCACAGGTTGAAGCAGCATGAAGCAGCAGGTTGCAGAGGTTGAACCAGCAGGTTGCACAGGTTGAACCAGCAGGTTGCACAGGTTGAACCTGCAGGTTGCAGAGGTTGAAGCAGCAGGTTGCAGAGGTTGAACCTGCAGGTTGCAGAGGTTGAAGCTGCAGGTTGCAGAGGTTGAAGCAGCAGGTTGCAGAGGTTGAACCAGCAGGTTGCACAGGTTGAACCAGCAGGTTGCAGAGGTTGATCCACAGCAAGTTGCAGAGGTTTAACCAGCAGGTTGCAGAGGTTGAACCAGCAATTTGCAGAGGTTGAACCAGCAGGTTGAACCTGCAGGTTGCAGAGGTTGAAGCAGCAGGTTGCAGAGGTTGAACCAGCAGGTTGCACAGGTTGAACCAGCAGGTTGCACAGGTTGAACCAGCAGGTTGCAGAGGTTGAACCAGCAGGTTGCAGAGGTTGAAGCAGCAGGTTGCAGAGGTTGAACCAGCAGGTTGCAGAGGTTTGGTGGGTTTGCGCGGTTTTGGGCGGGTGTGGTTGTGCTCTCTTGGCGCTTTTGGTCATTTCAACATTTCGATTCTGGATGGGGAAAGGGCCCAAAATGACACCGCAAGAATTGGGCCTGCGACCTCTCCCAAAACTACTATCAAGGTGCGCAACCTTGCCAAAAACTATCTGGCCATGGCCTAATGGGTATGTGTCCGGCTCCAAAGCCTTCTTGGCAAAGGTCATGGGCTCAATCCCCAGGGGTGTCGTTTGGGCCCTTTCCCCACCCGGAATCGAGATTTTGGGGTGGCCTGAAGCTTTGGGCTCTCTGGGGGCTCTCTGGAGGGGACTGGGTGCACATCCGGCTTTCGTGGGGCAGGTTGCAGAGGTTGAACCAGCAGGTTGCAGAGGTTGAGCCAGCAGGTTGCAGAGGTTGAAGCAGCAGGTTGCAGAGGTTGAAGCAGCAGGTTGCAGAGGTTGAGCCAGCAGGTTGCAGAGGCTGAACCAGCAGGTTGCAGAGGTTGAAGCAGCAGGTTGCAGAGGTTGCAGAGGTTGCAGAGGTTGAACCTGCAGGTTGCAGAGGTTGAAGCAGCAGGTTGCAGAGGTTGAACCTGCAGGTTGCCACATGTGCTCTTCTGCACTTGTGCAACCATGAAGCATTGCTATCATCAACAACAACATCATCATCATGTTCTTCATCATCATCATGTTCTTCTCTTGGACCATGATCATCGTCATCATTACCATCACCACCACTACCGCCATCTTCATCATAACAAGCATCACCGTAATCGTCATCATCATTTTCATCGTCATCATTTTCATCATTTAATTACTTGTAGAACCTGTGTTTCTAGGAATTGAGATAACAACACCCCCCTAATTATAAAAACATTTTCGAGTTTTTATTTAGGGCGAAGGGGGGGGGGGGCCCCGACCCTTTAATATTAGGGGGAGGGGATTAGGCGGCCACGGGGGCTACTGTTTGATAGATAAGTAGGTCGATAGCTAAATAGGTAGAGAGAGAGAGAGAGAGAGAGGGGAGAGAGAGAGAGAGAGACAGACAGAGAGAGGGGGAGAGAGAGGGAGAGAGAGAGAGACAGAGATAGATAGAGAGATAGATAGGTAGACAGACAGACCGACAGACATTCGATTTACACACCTAATATCAAACTGTAGTGTTATACTCTCGTCATCTCAGCATGTACTCTTGAATCATTATCTTACTGAACTTGCTCTTTGACTCTATCCTCAGCTACACCTGAGCAGCACTGCCATTGTTTGCTGGCCTCTTCCACCTGGGGCAACGGCGCGTTGCGACCCGGCCGGAACCTTGAACAAAACATGTTCGGGTTTCGGGTGTCTTCTGCATGGTGAGATTCCGTTTGCCTAGGGCTTTACAGGTGGAGTTTAAGTACGGCCTCTGGGGTTGGGAGGTCGTGACAGGGACGAAACGGGTTTAGTGATGAGGACTTGGGCAATCTTCAAGGTATATACCTCCTTGAGTAAGACAGGTTGGACCTGGACTTCGGCGGGAACCTAAACTTCGATCAACCCTTCCCATGCAACTAGCAACCCTGGTCTTCAGTCCGCAACACCCCTAAACCCAACGTGCCAAAACACTGAGCAACCCCTGAACCCATCCCAAACAAACCCCCAAACCCTCAAAACTCTAAAAGCCTCAAAACCTCAAACCCTCCAGAAATCAAAGCGGAGCCCAGGAGCTCAGCGGCATTCGGTCGGAGGGGTCTCGAGGGCGTCTTAGCCAGAAGGCCTCCTTGGACCTTTTGGCGCACCTCGGAGGTGCGAGTCGGGATGGCGAACTGCAAGTGTAGTGCCTCCTTTCGAAAACAAAAATGCATCCCGACACTCTAGGATACTCTATAACAAACTGGAGTGTACTATAATGTACTATATCTGCCCTAAGGGCACCCACCCCTAGCTCACCTTGGGTTAGTAGGGAATGGAAGCATGGTAGTCATAGTAGTTTTAATTGTACCCCATTCCTCCATTCCCTACTACCCAAAGGTAAGCCAATTCATCTGCAGCTTCAGATGCTTCAGGGAGGGCGGACGAAGGATCGGCCGGCTCCAAAGACACCAAAGGCCTCTTCGGCCTGAAGGGGAGTTCATTCGGTTTAGGGTTTAGGGTTTAAGGCTCAGGGTTTAGGGTTTAAGGTGTATAGAAATTGTTTATGGTTCGGGTCCGGAGTTTTGGGAGGGTTTTGACCGGGTTTTGTGCGGTTTTGGGCGGGTTTTGACAGGGCTTCGCCTTTTGCTTTGGCGCTGAAACCTGCTAAACAAGTTCTATTTATCGTGGGCTTAGGTTTCTTTTTTGGGGGCTTAGGCTTTCGGGTTTAGGAAGGGGAGTTCATTCCAAATACGGTGTTAGGGTTCCATCAGATTAGGGCTCTAGGACCCAGAAGCTCTTCTCATTGTCTTATTCGGATCGGTGCTATACGGTTTACGGTTTAGGGTTTGGGGTTCTATCAAGGGTTCTACAAATAGGGTTTAGGAGTTTACGGCTTAGGGTTTAAAAGTTCTACATAAGGATTATCTGTGGGTTCTGTACCCGGGTACGAGCGCCTCAGTGGGTCACCTGCTGCCGCACCCTCCGTGGATGTTAGCCAGGAGAGCACGACCTTTCAGGGGGCGCTTGAGAAGCTTCCGGGCTTATCGTAACAATAACCATTATTGATCTTATTGTAGCTGTAACACTCATAATATTCATACTATTGATCATACTCACAATATAAGTCATGCCGATATTACTAGTAACAAAAACATAACTAAAAAAAACTATTAAACACATAGCATTCGTGTTGATATAAAACCGGCAAAAAAATAAGATAGGAAACACAAACACCATCATAATTGTAATGTCGTTATTATCGAAATAGATCGTGTTTGGCGATACTATGAATACAGACTACTACACCATTATTCAAAGCCATGTTTAAACTCGTGTTAATACAACGATGGTCATCATAGGGGGGCGTCTCAGGAAGTGCGGGCGGTCCAAGGGTTTGCTGTTGCCATCCACCAAAGAAGCTCTTTCTTCAGGACGGGGGTCTACCCGGGTTTAGGGTTAGGGATTTAGGGTTAAACCCGAATCCATAAACAGTAAACCCATATACTGGAAACCTGACACCAAACCGAACACTGAGCCCCCGAAATGATGAGAATCGGGCTTTGGGATTTCCGGTGCGCTTCAGCCTTTGACCGCCTATCGCTCTGAAGGGGCCTCCATGATGGCTTTCTTTATGCCATTACCATGTATTACCTTTGTGTAGGTATAGTCTTCTGTGTAGCCGTATAATGCTTAACTGTATAAGGCTGTAGTATGAGTGTGGTATTATTCGGAGCGCTTCAACTTCCGATGTGCACCTCGCAGGTGGCTGCGGCCACAATCGGATCAAAGACATGCACCGGCAGCTTCTTTCCTTACAGGGCAATAAGAAGGACTGGGGCAGATAATGTAGGGGCCTTAGTGTTTACCTAAACTCTGTTCCCTGCTATAGATTGCAGTATAGTATACCCCAAAAAACCTATTCTAATAATTAAGGAACCAAATTATGGCGATAGCGGCACGAAGCGGGGATTGAGGAAGGAGGGGTCTGTAGCACTGAAACCTCAGGAGTCACATGCGGTCCTCCACGCCCAGCAGGCCCATCGGGAGGACGCTGGCGCCTCTATCGAAACTTAAGCACATGGGAGTTTCCGACAACAGGGGATGGTGATATAGTACCCTAAATAGTAGGATCCTTACTATAAGGGTCCCAACATAAGGTACCCCTAATATTCGGACACTCCCACATGGAGAACAAGCCTCCCTGTTGTGGGGCGGAACAAGGCAACTGCAGCGACAGCTTTAAGTAGTTGGATTGGGCATATTGTGGTAGCTGTCAAAATTATGGTCCATTTTGGGGTACACTAAATACTAAAAAAAGTGACGTATTATTATAGGGACCCAAACATGGACCATAATTTTGACAACCACGCATTGGGCATTTGCCAGGAGGGAGAGATGGGGGGTGACCTGAAGACTGAGACACACCGGACCCCGAGAAATAGACTCCGGAAATACGGTGCCTTGAGACCGCCATTGATGGCGGGAGCTCTTCCAGCCTGTTCGGTGGGACCATTTCCTAGTTTCCTGCTGAGGTCTGAACAGCATTGCTCTCGTTTGTTGGTGCAGTCGTCGTTGTAACATAGGCACTAGCGGCACTAGCGCCTACAGTGGGAGCACGATGAACACTGCGGCGACGACGAGGAAGGCGGCAGCCACGGCTGGTAAAATTACTGCCGCTCCTTCTGCCTCCACTGCTTCTACGACCTGCTTCTAGTTGTGGTTCTGCTACGAATACAGTGCTACAGCTGCTGAGGCGACTAGAGCAGGGTGCCTCCGTGCATGCAGACGAAGTGAGGTGGGCTGCTCCAGGCGACGCAAGGAAAGGAGCAGCTGTCGAGTGTAGATTCCTGAGATGAGACAGATTTCCAGGCAGGCACGGAGATTATGTGTACATATATATATATATATACATACATACTGTATGTGATATATGCCCAGCTCAAAGAAAATAAGCCAGCTCAATCCTTGTCGAACAATTGCATACTCTCGAAATCCCTCAGCCACCTGCCCCTAAACCCTAAACCCTCAACCCTAACCCCGAAGCTCCATCTTCGCCAAGAGTCGCGGCTTTCGCCGCTCTCGGCGAGACTGCGCCACGGGACCTCCCAAAAAAACGAAGGCTGGCAAGATCTTTAGTCCCGCTACGGGAGTTTCCGAAAATTAGGGGTACCTTTAGAAGGGATCCATAAGGGTTCCTTCAAGAGATCCATAAGGGTTCTATAAAGTAAAGGGTTATAAAGGATTAAGGGTTCGGGAGTTTCCCGAAATTAGGGGTACCTTGGTTTTGGGGTCCTGATTATCAGGATCCTACTATCTAGGGTACTATATTAGGGCCCCCCCCATTTTCGGAAACTTCCATATAGAGGTGAGCTGTACTATAACAGATACGGACGACCAAAGGAAACTATTATACTACTAGTTGCCAACCATTCAAACGCCTTTCTGAAGATTCGGGGCTTCGGATTCAACACTTGGGGTTTCAGAAATAAAAACGAGATAAAATGGATGTAAAAAGGAGATAAAAAAGGACTCCTTTATGAAAATCCTTGACGGGGCCTTCCAAAGAAGCCTACAGAACCTCGTAGAGCGATGAAAGGTCTTCCGATGACCCTGACAAACATGCAAGGTTAGAACAAGGTTTGGGGGTATACTATATACTATAGTTATAATTAAGGAACCCCCAAAGTAGCTTCATAGAAGCTGCTATAGAACCATTAGGCCTTTGCGTCTTCAGTTTGGACTTGAATGCTCCGGACCACGGGAAATAAATGAAGCCGATGCAATTCCACGCTTGGTTGCCAAAGGCTCCAAGACAGTGGAGCACGCTGACGCAGGCCCCCGAAATCCGCAAGAGAAACACACACTGCAGAACAGTGGCGATCGTGCAACAAACCAGCAGTAGTAGCATGAGCTGTGCTAGCGGTCGCAATACAGCCGCTGAAGCAAGCAGTAGCGTTACAGTAGCCCGTCTGAAAAGGAGAAGCCCTAGCCACGGAGAGCATCCGAGAGGCTTGGGATCTGTTCATCCTCATCAGTGGCATCCGCCCAGCAGGTTATCCTTTCCCAGGTCCTGGGCACGAACCCCTGCCTCTGCACTCGACATATCTACAACCCTCGAGCTTGTGAAGCCCAACCTGACTCTGTCTGAGGCCCTCACGCTGTCGGGTTGCTGCGTGGTGCCTGCTCCTGTTGCGATAACTGAGATATCGCGGCAAGCTTGGGAATCTTAGGGCCGTCAGGAGAGCAGTCGAAACCCCAAAATCCGGTACCGTGATTCCACAGTGACATACATCTGAGACTGGGACGGGCGACACTGCGGCCTGAACGCCCGGCGCCTGAGTCAGTGCCATGCTGCGACACTCCACGAACAAATTGGGAAACCTTGCCAGTGGCGGGTGCGTGGTCAAACTGCAGAAGCCGCAAATCCCCTCAGCTCCAGCTGTGCCTCCTGAGGCGCCATGTGCCATAGCAGCCCTACCGACAAAGGTAGATTCTGACGGCACGAGGCGATAAGTACTTTATGTCACGAGCCACACATGTTTCGCTCGAGTGCTCACGTGATTCCTAATCGCTCATCTAAACTACTTCAACAGTCCGCTTGTTTGCTCGTGTTTTGCATGGCCACGGTTCACCCTTCACTTAGCTGGTGAAAAAAGCACACCCGATCCTGCTTGCCACAGAGACCGTCCAATCATGACACCCTTCCAAACACCTTTGCTTCTCGCAAGCCTTGTTCTCAAAATGGCTGCAGCAAGTTGGCATGGCCACGGTCATGACCCCCCCAACGTCATCGAAGAAGCCAAAATGCTCAGATCCCGCGCCCTAGACCCTTACTGCAACCCTGACAGACCCTGCCACGAGAAACTCTGCAGCTCTTGCTCTACTTGAAGGATCAAGGGACTTAGTAAGTTAGGTTATAAGTACTTAATTGGGGTTATAAGCAATTATAAGTATAGTTACCTTAAATATAACCCTAGTTACTAAGTCCCATGATCCTTCAAGTAGCTGCGGCCTTCGGCTTGGGCGACGCCGATGGGGGCCTGACAAGACACCGACCACACTGACTCAGCAGCACTAGCTTGTCTCGCTGGCACGCTGTGGATTCTACCCCACTGTTTTTCCTGTGTGGATAAGCCTCTATGTTCTACACCCACATGCCGCTAGACTCTGGCAGCGTTCATCAAAGCTTCAGAGGGATGTTGGCTAGCTGCCACGCAGGGTTGGTAACCTCTCAATTGCTCGATCCACCAGTAAAAAAACACATCTCCACGATTCCAGTGAGATGTCGGAGTATGTGCCTGCCCGTCGGCCTCTCCGGCGTGGAAGGGGGCGCCTCCAAGACAATGCTGGCTTTTCTGAGGAACTCGAGAAAACCTGCTTATTTTCACCCTAAACCCCAAAACCCCGAAGCCTAAACGCACGTCTGTTTCTCGCTTTGACGCTCTTGGGAAGCCGGACCAGTCCCGCTGCCGAGATGAACTTCCCTAGTAAATGCTCAACGCCATGGCTGCGACTGGCGAAACTTTGCGAAACAAGATTGTGAGACAAGCAAGAGTTTCTGAAACAAGCAAGAGGCTCTCTTCCAGCGTGCCTTCGCCTTCGCTGCCTCCAGGACGGTTTCAAGTTTTGGAGAGGGTGCCTTTAAACGGATAGGGGCCATCATAAGCAGCGTGGTGTTTTGCGGTATCTTGTACTATAACTACGACGTATACCCACTGCCAGAAGAATTTTGTAAATCAGAACACGATCATAGAATGCTCCGACAACTACAATAAGAAGTCCAGTTCCGATGGGTAGTTCTTTAATTTCGGGTCCCTAGGACCCCAAAACGGAACCTAAGTTAGCGAACTACCCATACCAGCCTTTACCCAACCACGGCTCGCCCAAGAAGGTCCGAGCCACGTCCACTGAGTGTCTGACAGTGCGAGCCTCGAGTTCGCACGAATGGTGACTCCACTGTTCCCCTAAACCCTAAACCCCAAACCCTAAACCCCAAAACTGTGCCAGTGAAACTAGCAGTTGCAGTCTCACGAGGACTGTACATGCCAGAATGAGGCACTGAAAAAGGTTACATGTACAACGGAAGCATGCTGAACTCAAAGCAGCTTCCGGCAAACGAACACCCCTAAACCCTTGCCCCCAAACCCCTAAACCCCTCAAGAATGCTAAACCCGAAACCCTATCCATGCAGTCCCTTGCAGTCCTCATTGAGGGAAGCCACAAAAAGAAGCACACGGTGGTTTCGTAAACAGGGGGGGTCTGACCAGGGCGGTGCTTCCTGAAATGGGCAGTTGTCAATACTAGGGTCACTTTGGGGTCCGTAAAAATAGTCCGGCACCTATTATTTAGGGTAACCCAAAAAGGGACCCTAAGTTCGGCAACCACCCAAATGGCTGTAGGGTCGCTTCTTGCAGCATGGCATCGGAGATGTCTTCGCGCGGGATTTTGAGGGCCTGACGGGCCCTGAAACCCCTGAACCGTGAACCCCAAACTCTAAACCCCTAAACCCACCTGTAAAACCCTAAACCCCTGAACCCTAAACCTCTAAACTCTAAACCCCTAAACTCCAACCCCTAAACCCCCTCTAAACCCTGAAAACGAGAGGCCTTCAGTTCGCCGGACTGATTCTGTGCCTCCGTTGCCTCACTCCGGTACTGCACCTGGCAGATTCGGGTATTAAGGCTTTTTTGGGTGGTGGTTTCAGGTTTTGGGGTTTAGGGTTTAGGGTTTAGAGGTTTCGGATTTAAGGCTTTGGGATGTTCTGGGATGTTTTTGGGGTCAGTATACCCCGAATTAGAATAGGGGTTCTGACTACGGGTGACTATGTTTAGAATTTGGGGGCGATGGGATCTAACGTAGCTGTGACTTGTGCTGATATATAGGGCCTAGGAGGGAAGCCATTTGTTTTGTTCACTACTGTATTTCTTCAGGCCCCTAAACCCTGCCCTAAACTCCTATACCCTACACTCCTACACTCCTAAGCTCCACACTCCTAAAGTCCTATCCCCTACACGCCTAAACTTCGAAACCCTGCAATACCCTACACTCCTAAAATCCTAAACCCTACCCCCCACCCCCCCCGGTGGGATAGCTTCCCCAGAACGGTTCTTCTCAGGCTCAGGGTCCGGGGACCCGGAGACTGGCTCTGCGGCAGAGGGACGGGCTGCTGAAAGGCTCCTATAAGAGTTGTTGGATTTTTCTTTAAAGTGCAATGGCTTCTTTCTTTGGGGCTTTTTCGGGACGTGTGCCTCTCGCCTTTGGCCTTCCATCTTAATTTTGAAAATGTGCCCGGCGCACCAGAGCCTTTGCAGCCCTCGCCGCCTGTGCCGCCTGCAGACAGTGAAACTTGCAACATGTCAGTATGGCAAGAGTGTCAAGTGTCATGCCCAGATCCCTCCGTGTCTCGCCTGCGGTCTTTGTCTCATTGCCTGCAATGGCAGAAGCTGAACGACTTGCAAGCTGCTGTCTGAACCTCGGGAGCCTCGTCCTCTCACGGTTCTAAGTCCAGCTATACACTCTGTCGACACAAACACCCCGCAGTTCTCGCTCAGGCGCCGATTCCTGCCTACGTGGTCTGATGCATGGCTCGCCAGGGGCCGGGGGGACAGCGACGGGGTCTACAACCTCAAAGCACTTGCTCTACAACTTACTAGCAGGTGCTGCGGTTTGCTGGGTGCTGCGGTTTGCTGCTCAACGTGACACCAAATGGCTGGCCATGCAAGGAAAATGAATGCTGTACCAAGCCGGGCAGTAGGCGTGACGGGGAGCCACAGCCAGAATAGCGTTGAACGAGATCCCTCCCACGAAGTGAACGCGGACTGCCCGCCCCAAACTCCCTTTTTCTTCGGCTCCAATGCACAGCTCAGCTTTTGCAAGGCATCAGAATCAGAGGTGCTGTATCTGGGGCCGCTGGGGCCTTGACTCCCCTTGTAGATACCGGCACAGTGAAACAATGAAGCCGCAGCAAGTTCCGGTGGTTCAGAACTCGCCGAGTTCACCCTCACAAATCAGAGCTTGCAAATCTGGTATCCGACGCCACAATCAGGCTACCAAGGCATTGAGTGTAACAACTCTGAGAGTCGCACCGATTACGTTATTTACCCACTTACCTTGTTCAAGCACCGCACGACAGTCGCAAGGCTAGAGCATGCCGATCGGGCCGCGGCAGTAATGGTCGTACCTCCTTATCTTGAGGCCGTACTGCCAAGACCTAGGAAACAGAACGACAATCTGACTGCCCAACAGCTCAAGGCTCACAATGCACAGTACCAACCCGGCGCGGGACTTATGGGCTCGGAAGGGGCGGTCACCCTGCTCAGACACTTTCAAGCGCAATTGCTAGCTCCGGAGTTCCAACACTGCCCCAGACCTGCTCCAGGTCAATCCCCTCGACATCGAGCAGCACGTTCCGGGACTTCCTGAGTGGGTCTGCCAAAGCGCAGTACCTGGAATGCAACGTCGCGGGATGCCCAAAAACGGAACCAAGCGGATCCAAACGGGCCCGAGCTACAGCATCAGCACACTCTCCATATATCGGTGTCAAACTTGATGCACAGCCTACAGTGGGATCCTGCCTCGGCTTGCGGCCAGCTCTGCAAACAGCAGAGTAGCGGAATTTGAAGCCATGCCAAGCAAATCGAGCCGGCCGCCGGAACCACAGGTCCACTGGCACGCACCAATGAGGAAACTGCCGTGTCACTCCTCTCATTGGAGCACGGTGCAACAGAGGCCAACAAGTCGGGGCGCCGGAGCCAGCGCGGGCTTCAAATCGTAGCCGCAGTAAACAAAGTCTCCGTTCCTCGCTGAGTGGCCATCGTCCGCCCCAAAACCATCTGATGCCACACACTCTTCTCAGGGAGCAATGCTTCACCTTCGCCCTGCTCCTGGCCAGCAGGCACAGAATCTTCTGCAAGAGCGGGCTTGGAAGCGACAACAGGCCGGAGCGGTGAAGTTGCTCACAACATAGCTGGTTCCAGCTGAACCATCTGGATGACTTCACCAAGCCGACATCTGCAAGCATATGTTCAATCTCATGCTCGTCACCGGACAGCTCCCTGCCTAAGTCATAGGCAATCTTCTCTCGAAAAGCGTCCCACAACGAGCTTCTCCTCGGTGATGTGCAGGAAACAAAACTCTCCAGCATGTCCTTCTTCTGCTGGTAGAAAGCACCACTTCCAAAGGGTTTATAATTCATGGCAAAGATGTAAGAGGAGTGAAGTTGTGCTTTCAGGAAGAGTCCTTCGAGGCATCTCGACATGCTGTTTTTGAAATCTCGAATGGCCCTGTGCAGACTCCTGTACCGAGTCGGGCTCTTCGTGTGACGTTGGAGATGTCGAAGCCAGCAGCATCCTTAGACGGGCTGGCTTGCGAGCCGCACCAGCCCAATCAATGCAAGCGAGGCTCGTTGGAAGGAGGTTCGCCGCCGTCATGCTTTGTGCGATGGGCCTTCAGTCATCTTCATTCATGTTGCGTTCGTGCGACATGGCCAGGCTACTGCAGGATCGGCACAATGTCTGCAGAAGGACGGCTGAGGACTCCGCGGTCCGAGCGTTCGGTACCTGGCATCGAAGCAAAAACATTCAAAGGACATGCGCTAGTCTCTGAGCCGGCGCACGTGGGCAGCTGTTGCTGCTGCCAACCTGTCTCCAAGGCATGCACGGCTGTCTGCCCGCAACACTGAGCAGTGCAACACTTCCGCTGATGGCAGTCCTCCATGCTGGTGGCAGAGACATGATTTTGTCAAAAGCGTAGTGTCTTGCAAATTGAGGCATAGACTAGGGCACAGAGCTGCAATGCATGGAGCCAGGACTGAGGCATATTGCTGCAGTTCGTTCGGCGCGTCTTGTCGGAGCCAAGACTAGCGTCGTGCAGACAAACGCATGGAGCTGCAGTTCATAGGGCGGCACCGCAGTGCCTGTCCACACTCTTGACTCTTGCATTCGCAGCAAGTGCCCACATGTGCTCACGAAGCGAAAGGCTCAGGAATGTGCGAGGCAGGATCTCTGCACAGCTCTGAACCCGAACAAAAGCAACTTCTGGACACCTCGAGGTGCAGCCTCGAACCTGAGTTCTGAAACCCCTTGCTGCAGAGATAGCTTTTTGGTGCCCCGGCATTGTCTGGGTATATGTCGAAACGGGTGCCTCGGTCATCAAACACCCTCCTATGTGCAGTGTAGGTATGTGTGTATACGTGGGTATAGGTATGTATACGTATGTGTGAATGTATGGATCTTCTGGTTTGCACGAATTCTGAGGCACCCGATTTCCGGTTTCCTGCGGCAAAGGCACGCTTCGAGGGTGACTTGAACATGTCGATCCGGGAGTGGTGTGTCTGCACTGCGGTTCTTACACAGAAGGCCGAAACCTGATGCAGACAATCTCGCGAGGGTGAGGGCGGAACCCGACGCAGGAACCCACGCGCTAACACTTGGGATGTCTCACACAGATGTGCGACTAGCGCCGTCCTGTTTAACAGGACGTCGTTGGTCCGAGTACTCTTGCGACTCGAACAACCGAACCGTCCGCCCGCCGGGGAAGCCTTTCCAAATGCCACCTCAAAGCTCCACGACCAATATAGGGGCCTTCATAATCAGAACAGGAGGAATATTGTGAGGAATGCTAGCGGCAATTATTGAGGCTTCTGTAGTACCACTAGTATGCTGTCAGTCGTACCACTTTTCCTCCAAGCCTTGCTTAATAACCTGCTTTGCTCCGATTACAGCCCCCCTTTTAATTAAGGCAGGCTTTATACTTATCAGGGTTCTACATACGTCTGTATACGATACGTATATGATATGTGCCTATAATGTAGTATCGTATGTACAGTATCATACGATAGTATACAATGTAAACATATATATATATATATACATATATATATATATATATACATTATTTGTATCTATATATATATATATATGTATGTATTGATGATGGTGATGATGACATTATCTGTCCTCTTTTGCAAACCCCAGCAGGCAAGGACCTGTCCTCTCCGTGCCCGAGCTCCCTCGGGGCCGAAGGCCCCCCAAGAGAGCCGGGGTCTTCTGTCTCTGGGCCCGAGATGAGCTTAGGGTTCGGGGTTTTGGGTTTAAGGTTTTCCGTTTGGGGTTTAGGGTTCTCGGGTTTAGGATCGCGGGTTTAGGGTGTTGGGGTTTAGGGTCTGGGGTTCTAGGATTTAAGGTCTCTGGTTTAGGGTTAAGTCAACCGTAAACATTGGAACCCGGAACCCTTCCCCCGAGGAGGCCCTGTGGAAGACAACCCTCTTTGCCGGCGCTTGGGCGCCATGCGCCTTGGCGAAAGAGCGGGGCATTTCGTGGTTCAGGGTTCAGGAGTTTAAGCATCAGGGTTGAAAGGCTTAGAGTTTAGGGTTAGGTTTAGGGATTTAGGCTGTCCGGTGAAGGGGAAATGCTTGCTAAACTCTCCGACCCCGCGACATCATCATGCCAGCGGACCCTGCCACGGGCATCAGCATTTATGTGTGGCACTCCTGCCTATCACTGTAGTGGCAGGAATCGGAAAATCAGGGTCTTGGCCACAATCTCCTCCGTCCTATGCACGCGCATTCGGCGTGGCACCTGCTAAGTCTAACCTTATGGGGCCTAGCTTTGGGCATTTATACCCATGCAGCCCTAATGAAAGAGGAAGGGCACAGTTCGAGGGTCTTCCCGACCACAAAACAGAATCAGGCTTTGACTGCTAACACAGAATACGCCAAGAACAAGAACTTAACGTCCAAAACCCAGAAACCCTAACCCCACCATAACCCTGCATGCGAACCCTCAAGCCTCAACCCGAAGGTTCCTGAACCCCAACCTTCCCGGTCGCTGGCCTTCGCCGGTGCTCTGAATTAGCAGACGGGCTGGGGCTTCGTCTTCGAGGCCTGATAGAACGCGGGTGTCTCGGACTCGAGCTTCGAGGTTGTAAGTTTAAGGTAGTGTAGCTAACCCAAGGAACCCAGAAGTGTTGCTGGTTGTCTAGGCTTCTATACTACGGCTGATGCTATAAATCCGCATTACCTTAAGGACCCTAAACTATGGGAATAATGGTATATTCTGGGTAACGCAGGATCTGCATCATCAACAGTAACGTAAAAGCCAGAAAGTTGGAATAGGATTATCCTAACCCCTTTATGGTAGATTATAGGGTATCCTACCCTGAAACCATATTCCAACTTTCTGGAGTTCCCAGTAGGACTGAGAGTTCGGGTTTAGGCCTCGGGGATCTTCGACTTCCTGGAGTTTTCGGGAGCACGAAGTTGCCGCGGACATCACCCCATTGACTGCCAGCCCTGGGTCCTTAAGGGTTTAGGGTTTAGGGTGGGTAGTTTTGGGTTTAGGGTATTCTTCACCCCTAAACCCCTCAACCCTAAACTTAAAAACCCTAAACCCCCAGACCCCTACACCCTAAAACTCTAAAGCCCCTAAACTCTCAATCAACCCCTAGAGCCCTGCACCAGAAAGCCCCTACACCCTAAACCGTAAAATGCTCCACATCACGCCGTCACCTCCAGCTCCAGGTCGTCAAAGTCGAAGTCGAAGTCTATCTGCTTCGCCATCTGCTTGGAAGCAAAACCTGCTCTCTGACAGAGAACTTTTCAGGTTTAGGGTTCTAGGATTTAGGCTGCAGGCTTTGCGTTGTAGGATTTCGGGTTTCAGGGCAGTTTGATATACAGGAGGCTCAAAAAGATACAGAAACTTCTTCGGCATGTCCGCCGCGACCAGCTGCCCGGCTTGAGGGAGCAGTACCTATATTGAACTTAAACCCTAGCAAAACTTGTAATGCTCTTAGGGATTATAATACCCGCAATGTATTGAACTTAAACCCTAGCAAAAATTGTAATTTTAGCTGTTTGTTAGGGATTATAATACCCAAAAATTAAAAGGTATTTCTAAGTACCCCTAAGGTACGAGGTTGGGGTCCCGGGCCCAAGCAGCTTCTCAGCTCGATTGCAGCACGTTTCAGGGTGTAGAAATCAGTTTTAGGGAATGTAGGGTTTGGGGATTTCAGCCTTCAAGACAGGAATCCTCCACTCCGAGCGCTGCAGAGCCGCCGCTCCGTCAGAAATGTCCGGGCCTACTTTCCGAGGGCTCCTTTGGAGTTTAGGGTTTAGGGTTCAGGGTTCAAGGCTTCGAAAGAAACAGATTCTTTTGAGGTTTAGTTTGAATTTAGGCTGCTTGCGGTCTTTTTTAGGGCAACTGCCCCCCTGAAACTGCCAATTCTGAGGACCCCAGATGTCAACTGTAGGTGGACTTAGCTTGGGCTTGGGGGGTCGTGGGGAAAAGACGGAGGGCTATCCTTGCCTGGAGCTTTTGGCGCAGGTGCCGGTAAGTTGGATCGTCGGACGACCTCAAGAAGGGTTAGGGTTTAGCGCTTAGGGTTTAGGGTTTGGGGTTTAGGACCTCAAAACGGATCCATCCACAAAATCGACAGGGAAGACTCCCTGGATGAAACTATGGTGGTTTGGAAGCCGCAGACTTATGTAGGGGCGATTATCGGCCATGGTCTTCCCGGATGGTACATGGGTAGCTCTTCAAATTTAGGTTTCCGTTTGGGCCCCAGAATAGCACCGGCACGACTATAAAAATAACCCTGCCTCAAAGGGACCCTAGTTTAGAGAACTACCCGCGTGCATCTCCCAGAAGGATACCAGTCGTCGCTCTTGCTCTTGGAGGCCGCTTTCGACGAGAAATGGCGAAAAGCTGGCAAGGAATCTTCAAAAGCTGCCTAAAAAGGCCTCCTTAAAGGCTTCCACAATAAGGGTCTAGACAGACCCGAAACCCAAACTCAGCTGCCGAAAGCAACGCCTGATGCCGGGGGCTGGGCGTGCGCCGAAGGCACAGTGTGCACAGGCTTCTGCGTGGGCACCTCACCATGACAAGGACAGCATGCGGCTAAAATCGAAATAGAAGCCGGCTTGGGCCCTAAAGTGTCCCTGAAGCTCGGCATTGCTTGGGCTGGCCCCTTGGACGGAAAACTGCATCCTCACTCGGCACCCGGCAACTGCTGGCGCGGAAGCACCTGCGTCAGCCGCACCCCGGTACAGTAGCATAGGGCACGAGATAGCTATGGCTTTGAGTCTTGGAGTGGAGGACGTAAGTTGCAGAAGGACGATAAAGGGATACTATCAGGGGTTATGCAGAAGCAGTACCGAAACGGTCGCTGGCCCGGCCTCGCATCGGAGAGACCGCGTCAGGGTAGCCCATCGCCTTCCCGTTTTGTGTTGAAAGACAACCCTCAAAAAAATGTATAAATGTATCTATATGTATATATGTGTATCTTCATAATATTAGTAATCAGAAGAAGAATAGTAAAAATGCAAATTGAAGATGGCAGTTAACAATAACAACAGCAATAGTAGTTAAAGCACCGAAGCCTCGGACCTGAAATCAAAACTCCCTGGACCCTAAACCCTGGCCTGCGGCGATGGAGCGGACTGCGCACCCATAGACTGGCGAGCAGAGGACAGCAGCGAGGACATATATGTATGTATACATATACATATCCATCTATATATATATATATATTTATATATATATACATATATATATATATATATATATACATTCATAGTATCTATAATAAGAAGAAGAGCTTGAAGGATCATGGGACTTAGTAAGAGTTCTTTGATGTGTTCTTGTAAGGGTCCTAAGAGAGTTTAGGATATATCGTTCACAATAGAGATCGTCCTGCCTAAGATCCTACGTATAACCTACTTGCTACGTCCTCTGAGGAGAGCAGCAGTAGTAGCAAAGGTAGTTGCACTAGTAGAAGTAGCAGCAGCAGCAGCAGCAGCAGCAGTCGCAGCAGTCGTCGTGGTCGTCGTCGTAGTTGTAGTGGTCGTGGTTGTAGCAGTAGTAGTAGCAGTAGCAGAGTAGCAGTAGTAGCAGCAGCAGCAGTTGTTGTATTGGCCGGTGGCGGAGGAGCAGGACGAGGAGGAGCAAGTCGCTGTTGTCGTAAGAGCAGTGGTGGCAGCCATGCTGGAATGACGAGCATCAACCTAATGAAAAGCATCGAACAAAGAATCGAAATTGACATGAAACATTCGCGAATGTTGTTGCTGTGGCTGCAACTCGGCATCATTCCGGCTGCTCTGCATCTTGTCTTGCGAAACTTTCAGACGCTGCCTTCGAGGAAGGCGAAGCACTCGCTGCCTGGCCAAGTCCGCTAACTTCTGCAGACTGAGCCGCATCCTACACCACTTATGTCATGCATTTCAGAGGCCTTGCAGGGGTTACGACGCAGACACGAGGGGTTGAACTGTTGAGTAAATGTATGGGGTCCGATTTTCGACCGGTGCGTTGTAATTTCAAGCTTCTAAACCAACAGCCCCTTAACCCTCGACCCGAAACCCCAAACCCCAAACCCCAAACCCTAAACCCTAAACCCTAAACCCTAAACCCTTAACCCCAAACCCCAAACCTTAGACCCTAAACCCGAAACCCCAAGGCCCCTAACCCTCCACCCGAAACCCAAACTGGGTGGTTGTCAAAATTAGGGTCCCTTTTAATGGGGTCCCTATTATAGTACGGCACCTAATATTTAGGGTTCCAAAAAGGGACCATAATTTCGACAACTATCCATATAGGGACCGAAACAAAAACACATACTGTTCTGGAGGTTCCTTATTATGGACCCTAATTTTGACAACCACCCAACTCTGTGAAGATCGCAAGGCCTTCTCCGGCCCCTCGAAGGAGAAGTCGGCGGCCTGCGGCTGGCTTTCTGACCACGACAAGATGCCATTCCCATTAGTGCTGTTACCGCTTATATCTAAATATATATATATATATATATATATAATTATATAATTATATAATTATATATATATATATATATATATATATATATACGTATACATGTATATACATATATGTGTGTATATATGATGTACTATTATACGAATATACATTTATGCTAATATACTTCTATACTAGAAGTACCGCTAGTATATTCTCGTTAGCCAGCTAGGATCATTGTGGGTTGTTGTTGATGTTGCTGTTATTGTTAGTATTCCTCTCAGTTTTGTGAGATCAGCAATACACATGTTCTGCTGCTGAGACTGATATGATCATACCATGAATCTCATGATGTAGTGTATTGTTATATCCTGCCATGTCCGATACTTCAGTATATACCAATATATTGCACTTTGAAATGCTGTATTGCACTGCATTAAACTGCAGTATACCGTATTGTACTGCATTATACTGTGTCATACTGTGTTAGCCTGAAGTAGACTATATTACTACAGTGTTCTGTAGTATCTTGTGTCATGTTTCTCAGCTAGATTCGATTCTGCTATGTTAATGTGCCATACTGCATAATCCACCTTTAGCACACGTGTACGCCTGTACATATCAATATATATATATATATATATACATAATCAAACTGCCTACCGCAGTAAAAACCAGTTATTCCCAAACCCTACCTCCAGCTTCCTTTACTCCACGATTCAGACCCCAAAGCTCCTGGCACCGTAACTCATCTGAACCAAAAGCGTACTCCGCCTGGTCTACTGGATCCACTGGAACTTCCTCTTTGCTGGCGGCCTCCGAAACAGTCTGTTGGCCTTCTATAGTTATATGGGGACGAATAAAGCGGAACAGTATGACAAATGATTCCCATCCTTCTACTACAGGGTTTTCCAGCCAGTTTTTTCAGAGTGTCTCGTCAGGGACGGATACGGGTTCTAAGAGGGGTCGAACGGGGAGGCATTGTCAGCAAAAGTCAAAGCTTTAGAATGCAAGGCTTAGGCCTTAGGCTAGGCCTTCAGAGTTTTGGCTCACCGTGCGGATCCGCTGCAAATGTTCCTTTCGAAGCTCTTGCTTCAACTTCTTCCGGTGGCACAAGGTGTTGGAGGTGTTTCGGTGGCTGTCTGGAGTTGGGTTGGTGGGTCTGGACTTCGGGACTCACAGCTGTAGACAAAACCTATGCATGCTATACGGTCTTCGGCTTTTATGACGGTGCCCCTGCCTGGCTGGCACTTTTGCTAGCCACGCCAAGCTTCTCACAAGCCTTTTTCGCGTCCGCTTCGAGTTGCGCCCTGTACCTGTCCAAGCATCTCGGGTTTTCGGGCGGCCGGGGTTGCCTCTGTTACATTCCACACTGCACCCTGTCATCGTAAAATTGCAAGCTGTGCATTTCTGTAGAGGGCCATGCAGGGCCATCTGCCCCGACTCGGCCGCCTCTCTTGAGATCCCGAAACTGCAGATCTGAGACGGTGGCTACTACATCTCAGCTTCTGGAACCCTACAGATGCAACCCAATACCTGAAAGCACGGACGTACCTGAAAGCCAAAACATGAACTGCGCACCTCTCAGCGGCCTTCGAGGTGTAGTCCGCAACGCGACCAGACGAGGAGAGTTTACCCATCTCGTGGCCCTTGAAGTACTCCTGAGCCTGTTGGCGGTTTCGCGTTTAGGGCTTTACTAATTTTGGGTTTAGGGTTTAAGGTCCTGAAGGCAGGCTTTCGGCAGCGATGCCACCGACCACCGACGAAAATACTATAGCTGAGTCTCTTGTAGTAGGTAAGATTTGCTTCGCGTCTGTGACAGGCTCATGGCTGCTGAACGCCTTTGACCCACGTTTTCCGAACATCGGCCGGGAACTCTAGAGTACATCGCCTGGAAACTCCAAGTCCTCCCTCCTCAACCCTGAACCCAAAATCCGAAACCCCCAACCCTAAACTCTAAAAGAATCTGCTGCTGCGCGCTGAAATCTGAAGCCCCGAGTCCAAAATACACTTCTACGGGTATCGGAAGCCCTTTACACATGCTTTTTAGCCCTGAACAAGCCCCTTATGCCTTAAGAAAACGAAACATGCATAGGTAAACTCCTTAGAGGACCCGAAATCCTGAAGCCACGCCTTGCCGTTGCCTCCCACAGCCATCCTCAAACAAAGCAGGGGCACTCGAACCCTCGCGGTGTCTTCGGCTCCAACCCCCACCGGGCTCCCGGCTGCACCATCTGTTCTGGCGTGAAGCTATCAAGCTCAACCTGGGTGAGGGTTTTGGGTTTAGGGTTTAGGTTTAGGGAAGCTCAACCTGGGTGAAAGGAGGAGGTACTGTAGTCTAGGACGCTAGGGACACACGGGCTGAGGGGCCTAGAGTCTGCTATGGAAGGGTCCAGGGCTTAGGGATTCACAACTCTGGGCTTTCTTGAGCCAAGAAGGCTTTCAGAGTTTAATCTCATGTGGGAGTTTCCGAAAATAGGGGACCCCTAATATAGTACCTTTTCGGAAACTCCCACGTTGAAGTAAGTCCGAGGTCGCCGCGCTTCGTACAAAAGATATGTGGACACCCTGCAGGTCAGGGCAGTCATGCGGAGTTCATTGGTGCATGCAGCGCCCCCTTTAAAGTACAGCTCGAGCACCCCTATAATGCCTTTCTAAGACCTCGATGGCTCTCTTATAGTACATAACTATCCGTTTGGCACCCTTACAAGAAGCGCTGGCCCCGTTGCAGATACGCTGGCCTTTCGTCTATGCTCTCCGGAACACTCCAGACCTCAGCAGGTCGCGTCCACTGCTTCTCATGTGGGTCACCTCCCTAGGCCTGAGGGCCTCAGGCTTCAAAGTTTAGGGCTTCGCGGTATGTATGTATCGATACATACAAAGATGCCTGCATGCATACATATAAGCATACATACATACATACATACATACATACCATACAAACATGGGTGCAGGTGTGCTTGAAACGGAACTCTATATATATATATATATATATGTATATATGTATTATTTTTATGTACTTGTATATATATATATATATATATATACACACTATTTATCAGAATTTATGGTTCAGGGCTTATGGTTTTATGCACCCCTGAGGCGAAACCCTGAGCTCCGAGCAGAGATAGATGCCCCAGGTCAGCGAGATCCAGGTCGGATTCCTGGGAGAAGTCATTGGGAAGTTGGAAAAGGTTTGCTTTGAAACCCCTAGGGGTTTCAGGTTTGGGGGTTTAAGGGTTTTAGGGTTTAGGGTTCAGGGTTTTTGGTTTGAAACCCTAACATAGAAGCCTGAACAGTCAATTCTGGACCCAGGGTTTCTTAATCAAGTTCCCACATTAGGGCTCTTCAGTATAAGTCTAGTCTAAAACCACCAACAGAAGCCCTTCTATGCACGCCACCGCCAGCTGGACCCTGCCTGGCTGGGCACTCGAAACAGGTGCGGTTCTCGCTCTTCATGCGCAGCTTCCTGGAGTTCCAATGCAGGGCAGGTTTCTAGGGTTTAGGGCTCATCAGTAATTAAATCGTAATAAGAATAACAATAGTAATAACAATACTCGTAGTTGATATAATAAGAACTAAAAACAACAATGGTAATGTTCTAGCGTGATTTAAGACTTTTCGACTCATGTAATATATGTCGTCATTGCGTGGCTGCTACCATTCTCTGCGTGCTGATGACCATCATTACTGAAGCCCGAATTCACCGTTCGCAATTTGCCAGTGCCTTGCAACGTCAAGACGGCTTGACGCTAAACCCCATCGCTGTCCTAGCACTCTAGTCAAGGCTGTACGTCTTGACACGTGACGGTGCACTTTTTGGACTGCCGAAGGCGTGTTTCACCATGGATGTTCCGAAGTAGCAACTCAAACAGAAGGAGTGATGATCGTGGCAGCGGATTCTTAGACCCTCCACACTGGACCACTCAGATGCTGTGCTTGAAGATGCTGAGAGCCGTGCCTGAAAAAAGTATTGCGGACTTCGTCTGGCACGAAGCCCTTGCAAGCAGGACCGACTCTGTCAAAATCAGAAGCTGCCAAACAGTCTCCGATGAGTGACATGACAACCAAAGTCATGGCGATAGCATCACAGTGAAGGCAATGTTCACGGCAATGCAGCAAAATCGGCCGAGCATTGGCATTCGCCAGAAGGGCAGCAATCATAATGGTAGTCTGCTCCGCGTGCCTTGTCATTGACCTTGCTCAGCGTGCCCTGACACATTGGCATCTCGACATGAGGGAGCAAGAGGTGTCAGTATTTGCCTTGGCTGCATACTCTTGACCTTTTGATGGCATTGCAAGTGCTACCAGCATCGCTACTGCTCTTGCTCTCGACCCTAGACTCGCGCCGCTAGTCTTTCCACTGTGCGAGAACCTTTTTGTATAGTGTTGGTGCTATCACTCCACGTGATCCTGCTATTCTGTTCATCATCATCACACACACACATATACACACGTACACACACACACACCCTGAAGCATCCAACCCTAAACCCAGCACTACCGAGCCATGGTTCCTGGAAGTTGCCTGGCCTGTCCAAGAGCCTGAAGAGCTTCGAGTCCATTCCAATCCATGGCTCTAGACCTGACAGGGCTTTGGGTTTAGGAATTACGGTTTTGGGTTATGGGCCCTCTTCCAACTGCAGGTACAGAAAGAATCCCTTAACAGGAGGAGCCAAGGTTTAGGGTTCAGGATTTAAGACTTCGGGTTTAGGGTTTGGGTTCAGGGTTTAGGGTTTAGGGCGGGCAGGATCTTTCACGCTGGCATCCCATGCCGGACCCTTGAATCCCTTACCATCCGCCCGTCGCTGCCTTGGAGAAGAAACGGAAAAAAGCGAAAAGTTTCGAGCCACCAAAACTGCGTCAAGCTGGCAAGTTGAACAGTACTTCAATCATCCTGATGCAGATGTACATACATGACTGTACACAAGCACTGCACATAGTTGGAACGTATCACATGCAGCTACATATTTGCACATCTATGCATCTATCCAATTCCCTACTAACCAAAGGTAAGATGCAAGCAGGGCTCTGCTTGTGCACACGATGGGTTTCAGAAACATCGATGCTCGGAGTTGCACTGACGTGTGAGCGACTGCCCCGAGCGAGGATGCTTTCCGCTTGGAAGGTCAGGTGTGGCCGGGCAGTTTGCATATACTGCTGGATTCTTACGAAGCAACCAGGGCACGAGTACTTGAAAAACTGCCTGGCGCGCCTCACCTTCCAGCAGAGCCTCTGGAAACCTTGTCGCTGCCTTGAGGTGTAGCCGGCGGGTCTGGCTGCAGGACGCAGCAGATGTACAAGAAGCACGTCGCAGCACCCTGCTGGCAATCTACGCAGCCAAAGCATCTGTACACAGACATCGATTGCAGCCACATCGGTGAACTTCATCGCCGTTTGGCATGGTGCACCATTGCGAAAAGAGCCGTCCACAAAAAGGCTCCGTGCTGCTGGCTGGAGGAGCTAAGAGCGTCCATTTCAGCCTGAAATGTGGTGGTGCTCTCCGTGACATCTGCTGAGAGCAGCTCCTCCGAGGTAGAATTCGAGAAGACGGTGGTGGAAGGTTCGGTCTGCGGGCCCCTTGAAGAAGTCAACGAGCTTTCAGCACTGTATGCTGTTATATCCACTTCCTCAAGGGGCGCAATGTGCTAACTCTGCTGAAAGCTAGCTTCGTACGCTGAGTCACTTCCGTAGGGAGCCGAGTGAATCGCAGATCCCTAAGGACTACAGGTTGCAGGAATCATCATGATACTGGCATATCAGCTATCAGCCGGATCATGGTACGAAAGCGGGCTATCTTGCGCAGCAGATCGGCACAACTGTCTCAGCGCTGTCCTAAACCCCATAACCCCAAACCCCAAAAGCCCTCAAAACATCCCTGTGTCCCCGTCACCCCGAAACCCGCAACCCCACAACCCCAAAAGCCCTCAAAAACATCCCTGTTCCCCTCCTCGATGGAGGTCGCGAACTCGGGCGCGAGCTCTGCAATGGCAGAGACCAACTCCCCGAGAACTGCGGTCGAGTTCGCCTCGACCTTGCAGGCTTTTGTTTGTTTTTAACGGGCCTTTTTGGTGTCTGGGGTTTAGGGTATAGGGTTTAGGGTTTAAGGGCTTAGGGTTTAAGGGTTTAGGGGGTTAGGGTTTAAGGGTTTTAAGGTTTAGGGGTTTAGGATTTAGGGGGTTTAGGGTGTAGGATTTAGGGAGTTTAGGGTGTAGGGGTTTAGGGTGTAGGGTTTGAGGGTTTAAGTTTTTAGAGGCCTCAAGGGCTTTCAGGATTTGAATCACTTTTGAGGGTTTGGAGGCGCTAAGGCGTTCGAATGTTTGTAAGGTGTGTTTTAGCGTTTAGGGTTCCATCAGGGCTCCCTTAAGGCTTCCAGAAGGGTTTTAGGGGTTTAGGGATTTGGGGGTTTAGGGTTTAGGGGTTTAGGATTTTGGGGTTTAGGATGTAGCGGGCGAGCCTCCTGCACCATCTGCTCAACTGCTGCCGTGTCCAGGGGTGACTCATCCGTCTCGGTCACCGTGTATTCAACCAGCAACTCTCCTGGGCTACTATGGATTTTAGGGGTTTAGGGGTTTATGGATGGTTTAGGATTGAGGGTGTAGCATGCACTTCAATTTCCCTTGACTTCTTAGTTTCTGACGGACTGCTACTGATAGTCCGAGGTACTCCAACTCGAACTGCCTGCCCTCCCCAAAAAGAATAGGCCTTGGGGGGTGCCTCATGCTCCAGTCCTATTGGGGCTATAAGGGAATGATACTACAACGTACCTAGTTCGGCGTCTACATTAAGCCCGAAACCCTTCGAGCCACGTGACCCAAGGTGGCAAGCCGTCGACCCCCAGCCGGCACAACGCTGACGCTGGTGATGTTCACGTTCTCCTCGGGGACCTCCGGAAGTACTTTGAAGCCTGTTTCGGGTTTGACATTTACTTGCTTTATGCACCCGGGGGATATTATTCACGGACATCTGTCGGTCAAAAGGCGAATCAAGTGGGCCCGTGTAGTTCAGGGCTCAGGATTGAGTTTAAGATTCGTGCCGGGCTAAGTTGCGGAATATCTAATATCCGGTTTGGATTTATCAGTAAAGTCGCGCCTCCTCCGATGAAACCGCATGAGCTTCATTGTTTAGAACTGAGGCCCTAAGCTTCGGAATGAGTCGTGGCAGAAGTGCAGACCAAAGTAATCCTATTCATGCACGGTCGAAGGAGTTCGGCAAGCCTTTAAGTCACCTGAAGAAGAAATCGGTTTCAGTCTCAAGCCCGACCCGCTATGCATGCGACGCTACATCTCCACAACCGTCCTTACAAGATCAACAAAATCATCCCAAACTTAACCCTCTACTGTAAACCCGAAACTCTAAACCCTAACTGCCTAAACCCTCAGAACCCTCGGCGATGCCTGGAGGGCGCGGGCCACCCCGCGGCGCAGACCTCGCCGGGTGGCGGCGTCGTCCACGAAGGTCTCGCCGTTGGGCCGTGGAGGTGGGATGCCGCTTATCAGGGGTTAAGGCTTAAACCCTGATTAAACTTTAAGCTACAACACCCTGTGAAAAAAACGAAACCCTGATAACAACAAAAACACTGCCATGCCTAAACCCTGATCCCTAAAAACCCTGAACCTAAAACAAAAAGAACCCTGGACCCGACAGGGACGTTTCAGGGATGCCTCTGCCGAGCGCACACGAAGACGGAGTCGGCCTACCAATGTCCGCCTGCAGGATTTTAAGAGCTTTGGGTTCAGCACTTCGGGTTTAAAGGCTTCTTTCTGAGGTTTCTAGCGTTGGGGTAGGGTACGGAGTATTTAGGGATATACTTTGATATTTATTTTTTAGAGTTTAGGGTTTAGGTTGTGTGGGATGTTTGGACTTTCGGGTTGGAAGTCCCAGCAGGGAAAGCATTTCTTTTACAATGAGTTTTATATGTCATGCTCAGAAGGTGTTCGTAGGGTTTTGCAAGCTTTATAAGGGTGTTTACTCAGTTCTGGCATGTCTGCAACCGCCCCGGCCTTTCGCGGTCTCTGGGAAATTTGGGCGTCCCGACCGGTGGCAAGGAAGGCAAAACCTCAGAGTAATCAAACCAGACTACATTACATTAGATTGACGTTAACCGATTAAATTACGTTAGACTACGTTCTGCGACACAGTCTATTGTAGCAGCAACAACAACAACAGCACCACATCTGAGGGTTCCAGGGGTTGAGGTCTGCAAAGTTTCGAGCTCTACGGGTTCCGGATGGCCAGAAAGCATCACAACCACCATCAACGAAAACAAGGCGTGGTAGGGGCAGCGAACACAGCAGTCGTGGCAGCCGCGGTAGCAGTCGTAGTTGTCGTCGTCGTCGCAATCGTCGTCGTCGTGGAGCTGATAATAAGAACAACAATTATCAAAATAGTGGTAGTAGTAAAGTAGTAGCGGTAGTAGGAGTAGTAGTAGCAGTAGTAGTAGCAGTAGTAGTAGTAGTAGGAGTAGGAGTAGGAGTAGGAGTAGGAGTAGGAGTAGGAGTAGGAGTAGGAGTAGGGAGTAGGAGTAGGAGTAGGAGTAGGAGTAGGAGTAGGAGTAGGAGTAGTAGTAGTAGTAGTAGTAGTAGTAGTAGTAGTAGTAGTAGTAGTAGTAGTAGTGGTAGTAGTGGTAGTAGTAGTAGTAGTAGCAGTAGTAGTAGTAGTAGTAGTAGTAGTAGTAGTAGTAGTAAGAGGAGGAGGCTTATGACTCAAGCTCTGGTTGCGGTCACGGGGACGGCCAGCCACACATCCGTGAGCTTTGTGTCCTCCGGCACGTCGCAGGAGTGATCCTGACGATTAACCGAGGTGAGCGTTCAGGTGGAGCTGGAGGTCACAGCTTGGCAGGAACCCGGTCTTGCGATGATTATACCTATACCTACTATAACTCTAGTTATTGTGACTATTAGGTAAATATGATTATACTCATGACTGCTACAAATATAACCCATTAAAAAAACCTTAACTTGTCACCATTTCTTAACTCAGGGAACTACCAGGGATTGTTGTGGCCCGGCCTCTGTTTCGGAGGCATTCGGGAAGAGCGCGTTCGGCGTGGTGATGGCTTGGCCTCCGTGAGTTGTCACCGCAATGGTCATGATGCCATTCTGGATCGAAAGTCCTGGCAGGGATCGAGGGTTTTCTTGGAAGCCCTATATAGCTACATGGCATGATTGTGATTCTATATGATACTGAATTTTGTCATATTCGAACCTCCTATATCATACATACAATATTACACGGCAATGAACTACAGCACATGATCTACACTACACGCTATCTTCCAAGGACTCGGAATTCTGTCCCCCTGTCCAGCCTGCAGGAGAGCCCTTGTTTCGCCAGCGACTGAAGGTGGTCCAGGCCCGGCGTTGCCTCCCACCAAGGTTTTAGGGTTTTTGGGTTTAGGGTTTTAGGGTTTAGAGGTTTAGGGTTTGGGGCTTAGGGTTTTAGGGTTTAGGGTTTTAGGGCTTTAGGGGTTTAGGGGTTTAGGGGTTTAGGGTTTAGGGTTTTGAGGGTTTAGGGTCCGAGGTCATGATGTGCTAGCACGGTGTGTGATGAAGTATGAGATATACACATTGCACATGAGATTATTCCACTACATGGTACACCGTAGTAGATGGGGTACCTTGTTATACATTACACAATTCACGATATTAATTACATTATGTTACACCACCTTGTAGATAAAACCAGCAATCTGGGGGTTTCCGAAAACAGGGGCCCCTGATATAGCACCCTAAATAGTAGGACCCTTATCATAAGGACCCCTAAATACGGGGACCCCTAATTCTTCTGAAACTCCCAAACCCGAGACCCTTTATAGAACCCTTATAGATCCCTTTCAGGAACCCTTATGGTTCCCATTAAAGGTACCCCCCAATTGATTAAACCAGCTGTCTAATCTGAAGCCCATCATTACCGGCCTGAGCTCCGAGTCGAAGGCCACAAGGCTCGGGTCGCTTCCAGCATAGCCTGCCGGGTCCCCGCCGTCCACCCTGCAGGGGAGCTGCGGGAGACTGAAATCCACTGTAGCAGTCTATACTCTACTAGATTCGACTATAAGTCTTCTACTGTTATTCTACTGTAGTAGTCCACTATATTCTACCATATTCCGATATACTCTACTACATTACACGTTTGTATACTAATTTATGTCGCATTTTTACTTCCTGATACCTCTCCTCCACAGATATCCGCACCCGCCTCTGCCCCGCCAGGGTGAAGGCGGTTCGGCCAGGGATGCAACATGTGGAGGTTCCCATGACCTGAAGGAAACAGCCCTAGGCCTCCAAACCTATTTTGGGGGTTCTTTGTTCTATTGAAAATATATTAGGCCTCCAAACCCTATTCTAATTATTAAGGCCCCTACATAAAACACCCCCCCCACCCCCCTCCGTCCCGTCTTCTGCAGCCTGGGCCGAGGTGCATAAAGGGAGTTGCTCTCGGCATCGAACTGCAAGGCACTACCTCCACAACCGTGCTCTTTGACGGTACATGTGAGCATTCCAAGGATCCCTGTTCAGGGCTTCTTCTAGTGCTTGAACTTTCTCTCGGCATCCGAAACCTGGAACCAAACCCTGCAAAATCAAACCCTGAACCCCTAAAGCCCCAAAACCGTAAAACCTCCAACCCTCAAGATCCAGACCCTGGAACCATCCCGAAACCCTTATGGTACCCTTCTTGCACCCCCCCTATAGATCCCTGTACTAAACCCCACTTGAGGTTGCTTTCCGAAACCTCCCTAATGGGGGTTCCTGTAAGGGTTCCTTTACGGGTCCCTTTCCCTTGTGCCGCCCTGGTGCCTTTCATTCGAAAGGTGTTGAGGCGCTGGGCTGAGCGTAGGATGGGCGCGATGAAGGTGCCTGTTTAGGGTTTAGGGTTTAGGGGTTTAGGGTTATCCAAGCTTTAAAGGACTCTAATAGTCAACAGGGCTTTATGGAAAGCTTACTGTAATGGTGTTTTCAGGGCTTCGATAAACGTTTGAAAGGCTTTCTGAATGGGGGTTTCGCCGGGCTTTAATTGGGGTGCTATCGTAATTGAATAGTATGGCAGGGCGTTGACTTCATGTCGGTACGGTTTCAGAAGATTCTTAAACCGAACTTGGAGGGCCTGTTCTGGTCGCCTCTTGTGGGTCTGGGGACTCGATGTCTGGGCTTAAGCAGGGGCAGAAGGTTTCAAGGATTTGGGCTCAGGGTTCAGCGGTTTAGGGCGCGACATCTACTTGGAGGTTCATGGGTAGTTCTAAGTAGGGTTACAATGTTTACAACCCATATTAGGGGACTTATAATCTTATAGCCCCACTTAGAACTACCCATGAACCTCCAAGTACAGATGTCTACAGCAGTGCAGTCTGCCGCAGCCCATGTGCCTCCGACGACTACTCCATCGCTGGCCCGGACTCGGCCAACATAGCCCACATGCGCATCCGACTTGGCCATCCACCTCAGCTTTGCCAAGGCCCCTGCACTCTGGTTGCCTGCACAGGCTGCTTCCAATCTGCATGGGCGTCCCGGTGTCGCGTGCAGTGCCCGTGGAAAGGTCCTGTCTGCGAAAACAAACCAAGACGCCTTTGACCCGGCAGCAAAAAGCAAGTCTTCACGGAGCCTGCCTGGCCGTTCCAGCGGAAGATCGTGTTACCCCCCGCAGACTCGCCGGCCACATAGACATGCTCCTCGATGTCGTCCAGGACCAGACCATACACCCTTCAGGCCATGCTGCATGCTGACTGGTGACTGCCGGACACACAAACGCCACCAAAGCTTAGCACCTGGTGTCCGCCATGTTGTGGGCATCGTCCAGCTGCCTAGCGGTAAACCTTCGTGAGCTGGCAGCATCGCGGTCGTGTCTGCACACCCAGAGACTCCAATATCCTTAATTAAGGAATATTCGTTAAATCATATGAAGGATCCTACTATAATTTATGGAATATTCCTTAATGAAGGGATATTGGAGTCTCTGGGCAGCTTGCATGGGAAACACCTCCTTGCACACCGACTCAGCGCTCGGGCTCCGGCATGCCCCAGGTCTGCGTGAGGCGCTCCTGGAGGTCTGCGCTGTAAATCTCCATCCGGGCGATCCTGCACGGGTTTAGGGTTTAGGGTTTCGCGTGTAGGGTTTAGGGTTTAGGGTTTCCAGTGCTGGCACAACGTGTGTAAGTGGCAGAGGGGTGCTCGAAAACAAGATTTCAGACGAGAAGCTGAACGGCGTTGGTGGCTCTGTTGTTGGTGTAAGCTCCCACTGCCACTCGACCGTCCGTGAACAGCTCCACCGCCTGAGCTGTCTCACGCCATGGAACTACTGTGCTCCTTAGTCTGTACTCTTCACTGCTTATACTCTATACTATCCACAAAATACAATATCCTATATGCTATGCTTTCCTATAGTCTACTCTGCTCGACTATGCAATACCATACTATGCTCTTCGATGGTATGAGCATGATGCCAAGAGGCAGTCACGTAGCTGTAGCCGAAGCTGCGCTGGGCGACCAGTGCGCCGGATGAAGCTGAGAAGACCTGAGGCTCACTGCAGGTTTCAAGTCCCCTTTTTGGCCCTGACGAAGCTTCTGGCATTGTCCGGGACTCCCTCCACTACATCCCTATAACCCACAAAGTCAAAGGGCGCAAGCCGCAAGCCACTAAGCTTGAACCTGCATGCAACCTTAGCCTGTTCCCCCAAAATGGGGAGAGTTGAACGCCCCCTGAGCACCCAAACCCTAAACTTAAATCCTCGATCACAGCATCTGCCCACCGAGTCCGTGGCAGCAACGGTCTTGTTGGACGTGACGACGGCCACACGTCCACCACGAACGGCGGATGTCGCGACGACCTGGCAAAAATCCTGGGAATCTCTAGCATGAACTGAGACGGATGATTGATGCAGTAGTCTAGCACTGCATGCATCAGAAACATGTGCTGCAACATGCTCGCAACTTAAAGGCTATAGTGCGAAAAGTGCATGCTGTTCTTAAACAGACAGTTCTGTTAGGTTTTTTTATGTTAACCGCTGGGTGTCCTGGCGATTTTGCATTGCCAAACTGGTCCATGACTGTACCAGCTCCAGTTTACACCATGATGACGCAACCTTGCTGTTTTCCGACGCCACTGGTTATGTGAAACGACGAAGTTACAGCGCTTACACCAAGCATGGCTGATCTTGGCCTCTGTGACCGGAGCGGCCCAAGCCTGCCGGCAGGTTCGTGTTAGCCTTTCGGGGGTTCAGGGTCATGTTTCTTTTGAGCCCCTTGTTCACCCAGCAATCCAGTCCGGTCAGGGTCTAAGGTTCAGGGTTTAGGGTCAGTAAAACTGTCGGGTTTAGGGTGCTTGGGTTTGGGGTTTTAGGGTCGAAGATTTTAAGGTGTCCTTTCTGGGTAGCTAGGTCGTCGTGCTCAAGAGATTGAAGATAAGCGGTCAGTCGAGGCCGTGACTGTAAGGAAACACCGACAAAAAACTAACAAACAACAAATGAAATTAACAGTTGAATGTACATATGTCTCCATACATACATACATCCGTACATACATACATCCATACATACATACATATACATATATATATGTACACATGTGCATATATATATATATATATATACACACATAGCAAGGTTTTACTTTGTTTTGGGCCAGGAAACTGAAGCTGATCAACGCTCAGCGCCCATCCCCGCCCATCCCATGTTGAACACACTTATATATTCCGGATCGCCACGTCAAGATTCCGATTAAAACTGGTTTAGGGTATACGCCAAACCCTCCTAACTAACCTTAAACCCTGAACCCTAAACCCTAAATCCTAAACCCTAAATCCTAAATCCTAAACCCTAAACCCTAAACCCTCAACTCAAAACACCTTAACCCTAGACCCTGAAACCCTGAAACCCGGGCCTCGCCGTCCTCGCCAATACCAACCAGGCCGAAGTCCCCTGCCGCGAAGAGGTTGACGGGGCCGCCACCTTGGTCGGATCTCAATTACTATGGTACCCTAAATAGTAGGATTATTATTAAAAAGGACCCCAAAATAAGGTTGGATTACACTAGAAGCCCAAAAGTTGGAAATCCAAGAGTCTCATTGCTTAAGAGTTAGTACTGTAATGTAAAGGGATTCGCAGCACGTTTCGTCCAAAACCCCGTTTTCCAACTTCTTGAGGTTGTACTACTACAAGGGTCCATAAGGTTCCATGACAGTACTATAAAGTCGTATTAGGGTTCTATAAGAGTTGTGCATGGGTTCCACAAGGGTTCTGTACGGGTTGTCTGGGGATCTGGAGGTTGCCGCTTAAATTACGCGGCAGATCTTCGTCTCTGTGCCTACATGGTGATTGTTTTGTGGGCTTCAAGTTTTTCCTTCATCCCAAATCCTAAACTCAAAAGTGTAGATCTAGGGTCTTTTCTAGCTTTGCTTCTTAACTATCCATCTTTTTAACTATCCGTTTTTCTGTCTGCTCGTTCGAATCCCCTGCGGTAGCAGGGCTTGCAAAACGACGAACCCGGAGGGACTTGAGCTGGGATTCGAGATTTAGGCTCATTTGGGGTGGGGGACCCTATTCGTAGATCCTTATGATGGTCTGGAGGCGCCTGAAAGACCACCTGAAGTTGACACAACCCTTAACCCCAAACCCCCAAACTCCAAACCCCTAAACCCCTGAACCCTCAGCTCGGCCTGGAACTTCCCGGCAGCTGCTTGCCTCGCCGGGCAGGCTCGCAGTGCGCAGCCTTTCCCCTGCCAGAGCCGCAGAGTTGGCGGGTTCTGTCTTAAACTCCGCGGTTCAGGGCTGGGGGCTTAGGGTGTAGGTTCAGGATTTAGGGTTTTTTTGAACAGGGTTTGGGTTTGTAGCGTTAAGGGATGTTAACAGCATGTCCTCGAATTAGGGCTCTGGGTGGAGGTTGCTTGTGGTTCAGGTGTTCCTCTCCGCTCGCGCCCGCGCCGGGGTTCCGGAGCCCGGCCTGTGCTGCTGCTCAGCCACACGACCTGAACCACAGGCCACGTGAGCATGAGGAGACAGGAGGACCCCTGAAGACTTAGCAATGCTTACGGGATCAAGGCTTGAGACCACGCCTGGTCTCGTTCTGCCATAGACGGGAAGCGACCACAGGTCACCTGATGTTGGAAGCACAGTCTCACCCAGACGCAACGGCAACTCAGCTCGAGAACTAAACGATGCAACGCTACAGCTCCCAGCTCTCAATGAGCTCTAAGACTCTAATCTGAGCTGGACGTACAGTGCTTTCAGCACTGGGAAGACCTGTTTGGAGCCACGACCTCCCGAAGCCATGCAACCACTTTTTCTCGTGCCGAAAGACCTGTCAAAATCAGATCGAACGAATGTGACAGCAGAACTTCTTCTGCTTCACCACAATCGTACAAGTTCTTGGGATCGTTGTGCTTACCTGCATAATGTACGGCTTTCGGGACCTGCTGTTTCCGCAGACGTGCAAAAGTGTCGTAGTTTTCTGTACACCCGGTCTAAACAGTTTTTCTGCGACCTGTCTTGGTCCGACCGGTGTCTGTGCCACGGAACCGATCTCACAGACCTCTACAGCAGCAAGCGGCTGGTGTTGGTCGTGTTGTCATCCATGGTCGTAGTCGTGGTCGTAGTCGTGGTCATAGTCGTTGTGGTGACGTTGTCATCATCGTCATCCATGGTCGTTGTAGTTGTCATGTTGTCCGCCATGGTCGTCGTAACCGCCGCAGTTTCCGTGCTGTCCTCGCTGCAGCCCTGAAGGAAGCAGGCCAACAGGGCCATCAGGACTGCAAGAGCAATTGCGCGAACGGACATCATGGCTGCTCCAACACACGAAACGTCACACAAAGCTAGGTCGGAGCCTGGACTACCTTGCAGCAAAATGCTACGCATGTTCGCCGACCTTCTGCTCAAATCCTTCAAAAGCACTCGCACACACTCACGCACGCACACAAAGCGGGCATGCCCTTGCACCTCTGACCGGATTGCTCTTCAGGATCACAAGTTGAGACGCAACTTTTCACTCGACGAATCGGGATCTTGCGAATGCGAAAGCTGATCTTTACCTGCCCCACCGCAATCGTGCAAGTTCCGTGGTGATCGTGGTGCCTCCTATACATTATGTTACGGCATGTTACGGCTTTCGGGACCTGCTGTTTCCGCAGACGTCCAAAAGTGTCGTAGTTTTCTGTACACCCGGTCTAAACAGTCTTTCTGCGACCTGTCTTGGTCCGACCGGTGTCTGTGCCACGGAACCGATTTCACAAACCTCTACAGCAGCAAGCGGCTGGTGTTGGTCGTGTTGTCATCCATGGTCGTAGTCGTGGTCGTAGTCGTGGTCATAGTCGTTGTGGTGACGTTGTCATCATCGTCATCCATGGTCGTTGTAGTTGTCATGTTGTCCGCCATGGTCGTCGTAACCGACGCGGTTTCCGTGCTGTCCTCGCTGCAGCCCTGGAGGAAGCAGGCCAACAGGGCCATCAGGACTGCAAGAGCAACTGCGCGAACGGACATCATGGCTGCTCCGACACACGAAACGGGACCCAAAAGAGCTAGGTCGAGCGATGTTCCACAACAAACTAGAGCCAAAGCGACAGCACTTGTGAATCGGAGCCTCACCCCAGCATGGCACACAACTCGGCGGCATCTGCTCATGCTGCGCCACAGAATGAAAACATATTTCATATAGATATATATATATATACATATGTATACACACATACACATGTATAGATATACATGTGTATATATATATATATATATACAAATATATGCCGATGTGTATGTGTATATTTGTATATTTGTATATTTGTATATTTGTATATTTGTATATTTGTATATATATATATATATATGTGTGTGTGATATAACTTCACACACACACAAATTATACGAAAAAATGTACTGGAGTTTCACAGACTGCACATTATACTGAACAATACCGCTATAAGATAATACACAAGGATATGCAAAAACATACTCAAGCAGATGATATAACACTATATAACACAATATAACATAGTAAGCAAGACTATGACGGAACGCAACACATCTGCTGGCCAAGTTGCAATCTGCGAGGCATTTTGCAAGAGGAAGGCGCTGACGACAGCTTCACCTTCCGACCCCGACCAAGCATCCGTGCCCCGGGCAGGGCTTAGGGCCGTTAAGGGTTTAGGGCTTCGGGTTTAGGGCTTAGGGTTTAGGGTTTAGGGCTTAGGCTTTTGGTGAAGATCCAGTCTGTAGAGAGTGCATGGCCAAAGCTGAGTTCTGTGATTGTCGGCAGGGTTTGGCTACGAAAGGATAGTTCTTGAGCCGTGCCGAATGCTCAATGTTGCTGGAGATGGAAACACCCGACAGCCCACAGTGTACACAAATGTCGGATTTCATCGCGCAGCTTTTGACTGACTACTGTAAAAAAGTGTGTGAGCCTGCTGGTTTGCTATGGACGGTACCTTACTTGGGGGTCGACATAATCAGGATCCTACTATTTAGGGTGCTATCCTAGGGTCACCAATTTTCGGAAATTACCAGTTCATCCTGAAAGGGTGCTGGGATGGCAGCTCGCTACTTTTGTAGGTTCAGGGTGAAAACCCAAGCAACGAGACTCTCGTCTGGAACACCTCCCTCAAGTCAAGGTAGAGGTCGCTGGTATAAGACCCTTGCGGGGCCCTTGATGTTTGGAACACTCTAACCCCAAACCCTAAAACCCTAAATCCCTAAACCCTAAACCCTAAAACCCTAGACCCTAAACCCTTATACAAGCCCCTTTTCTGTTTGATTTCCCTCTCCCTCGCCGCCCTCGCCAAGCCAAGAAGCTCTGGCACTGCGAGTTGAAGGGATGGTAGGTGGCCAAGTGCATGGGCAAAGTCTTGCGGGCCAGGCGCGACTCCTTTCGGCAGGAAGCCCGGGCTGATGGTGATGATCGCGGTGACCCTAAACCCCTACAAAAACTGAAGCCTGAACATTACGATCGCGCTGACAAAATTCATTGTGGTGAAGGGGCGGCGCCAACGATCATCCTCAAGGCCCCCCTTCACACCCAAACGCAAACCTAACTTTTAAACCCTGAACTCTAACAACCCAAACCAAACTCCAAAAATCCTTCAACCAACACCCCAAACCCAAAACACTGAAGGCTAAACCTACCCACCAAAGAATCCTAAGAGCCCAACACGAAAGGGTATATACCCACAAGAAGTCCGAGGTGCATCAAAAGCATGCCACACGTGTCCGCGCCGGAGTGGCTTGGGATTCTTCTCGGCCAAGGCCTCCGCGACGGTTCGTTCGTCCTGGGCTTTATTTAGGGTTTACAGGTAGTGTTCGGGGATCTCAAGATGTGGCGGAATAAGAGGTTTTTTGGGGTGCAAGCTGTGCAGGATGACGAGATATATGAACAGCTGCTACTTCGGCACAGTTGTCACAGGACCATCAACATTCTCTGTACCAGTCCCATGCTCTGAAAACTCTCTCTGAATTGGATGCATGTCTCGTTCAAGCTGTCCCCCGTCGGCAAGCCTGCCCAAGACAAGAGAAACGATGCTTCGAAACAAGCGCGCAGGCCGGCTCCTGTGCAGTTCTTCGCCGGGTCCGTGCGAAGCTCCATAAGGAAGCCGGAAACCTTCTCAGCAAAGCCCATGGCTGTTTGTAAATGCGGTGGCTCTTCGCTTCTCAAAGCCTCTCCGAGGCCTTCGTGCTTAGTAGGGAATGGATCCCTATAGTAGTCCTTATATTATCCGCAATACTGTTGATTATATAAACCCGGCATTACCAATAATGCGGCATATACCATTATTCCCACAGTCTGGGGTCCTTGAAATAATAATGCAGGATTCATACTTATCATCAAGCGCAGTAGTCCCCATAATCCATTTCCCCCATTCCCTGCTATGGATCAGAGAGCCGGGGCCTTGTTGCTGTCAGTGGGATGCGGCAAAGCGAGCAGAGGAACGTCCCAGGTCACCTCAGAAGCACCGGAAGCGAGCCAAAAGTCCTTGTCAAGCAAACAAAAGGCGCAAGTAATAGTTTCTAGTATAGCATATAGTTAGTATAGTATGTACTAGATAGTACGTATGTAGTCTATAGTATATACTTTATTCTTTTCAACTGATCGCTTCCATCCCTGAAGCCACGAGACGCTGCAGTCGGCCTGGTCGATCGGTTTGGGCAGGTGGTAGATGCCTGGGCTTCGGGGGCTTCGGGGGGCTTCAAGGTTCGCAAGACCCAGCGCCAGATCAAGCCACCAAGTCCATAGTATGGTATATAGTACAGTATATCTTATTGTATAAAATCGGTATACTGTATGGTATGTCGTATATAGTGTGCATATCCAACTACCGTACCCCTGGGTAGACCAAACTGGGGTTGGTCATTCCCATCTTCGGCCAATGACCAGTGCAAACCGCCCACAGGCTGTTCTTCCGTATAGCATGGTCTCCATTTGTCCACAAAACTCGGCAGCACCATCGGCAATCATGGTCCAACGAAAGATTCAACCTACGCACACGTGTGTTGGGCGAAACGGCTGTGGCAAGCGCAAACAAACGGAGGAAGAGAGGGCCCGAGCAACTCGACAGAAGCCATTTATGCATGTCCAAAAAATGTATATCTATCTATATGTATATTTATTCATCTTTATACTTATATTATGTGTATCTCATATATATATATATATATATATATATATATATATGTCTATTCTATCCATATGTGTATTCCCACGCCACATTCTCAAATTCCGAGTCTCCATCGGCGTGGACCAGGTTCGGCTCACTCCGCTGCTGCGTGAGCTGTGTGAAGAAGCCTCCACGATCAGCAGAGAGAGGGAGAGTTTAACTAGTATCAGGGATACTAGTACCATAGTTCAACAAATCAGAGAAAGTCAGTCAGTCCGTCCGTCCGTCCGTCAGTCAGTCAGTCATTCTAGGGGCACACAAAAGCAGAGGCCAAGAGACCCTTGCAGGGGTCTGTCAAGGAATTACCGTAAAAATTACAGTGGCGTCGCCGTCCTCGCGCATCTCCGTAGCTGGCTTCATCCAGAGGCAGCCACCAGCCCTTCGCTTCGTCAAAGGAATAGTACTGACCTCAGCACAAGCACAGCTCCGAGCCCGGGGTGTCGTCTACGGCTTCTGACGTAGAGGCCTTAACTATACTATAGCTATAACAAGGAGCCCCCAAAATGGTATAGATAATTCTTAGGGCCCTTATATCATAGTACCTTTATAGTAACCCTTACAGGATCCAATCTTACAGGAGCCCCCTCCCAAAGAGTATGGGTAATTCTTAAGGCCCCTATGTTAGGGCCTCTGGCCTGAACCGCCGGTGGAGAAGAGGGTCCTCCGGTCCGCGGAGACGTAGATCTTGGACTGGCCCCAGCCGCAAGTGAAGCCCTGGGAAACAGCTTGAGTACTATTTTGGGGGGTTCCTGTAAAGGGTCCTGTAAGGGTTACTACAAGGGTACTATGGTTTAAAGGCCTTAAGAGCTACCCATACTACGGTTGATTATATATGAATCCTGCATTACCTTTAAGGGGCCCTAGACTATGGGAATAATGGTACGTTCCTTGTTTATCCTTATCTTGTGTAATCCAGGATTTACCTCATCAACAGTATTTTGGTGATTCCTGATTAAAACTATAGTTCAATATACCCCAAAACCTTGTTCTAATTATTCAGGCCCCTATCTTACCTTCAATGAACTTTACCAGATCCCTCTCTAAACCCCTGAACCCCCACTCTATACTCTAAGCTCTCCGAACCCAAAGAAGCTGCCGGTGCCTCCTTGCGGTACTTCGTGTCTGGCCCTGTCAGCCCGCGCCAGGCGCCATCCTCCATATGGGACTTTCCGAAAACAGGGGACCCTGATATAGTACCCTAAATAGTAGGATCCCTATGATAAGGACCCCCAAAAAAGGTACCCCCAATTTTCGGAAACTCACCTCTCGACTCAAGAGACACGTTTGCTTTAGGGGTAAGTGCAAGGGTTACGATAAGGGTCAGGGTTTAGGGCGAAAGGTTTAGGGTTTAGGGATACTAGTCTCTGAACGAAGGCTTTGGGATCTCGGAGCGATGTCGGGATCTTGGGTTGAGGATGAGGCCTCCAGCAGCACGATGCCGGTGTCAGGCTGTGCTTCGGGCGAGTCCTGAGAAACGACGCCGCGAACTGCGAAAAAATTGAGGTCATGGAGAGTGGTGTTGGATTGGTTCAGCAGCTAGGAGTTTCCGTTAAATAGTAGGATCCTCACTGCAAGGACCCCCAAATCAGGTACCCCTCATTTTCGGAAACTCCCAAACCCTAAACCCTTTATAGAACCCTTATTGATCCCTGTAAGGAACCCTTATGGATCCCTTTAAAGGCACCCCTTCTACGCTGGGGGACAGGATGACAAGATGCCAAGGCGCATCACAGCGCGAAACGCTGTCCACCCCGGTGTTCCCAGCGTAGAAGCTCAAGCCTCGGACCCGTGACAGGCGTAACTCACGATGCTGGCAGAAGAAGGGGGGTTCCTTCTTATAACTGTAATATAATGAGCAAAGAAACCCTAGTCTAATTATTAAAGCTGACCCTGCTACATGTTAGAGTTAGAAAATGCTGCGGGCCAGGGCTGTTGTCACATGTAGGGCAGGCTCGCGCTGATTGCAATTCCATGATTAACTCTCGACTCTCGTTTCTGATACTGGCTTCTCAAACACCTTTCAGTCTTGCTGAGGGTGGCCGAAATCGGCAAGGTTCGCTGAGCGGCTGCCGTCGGGGCGTCGGGTGAACTCGAAGCGGGGGTGCCACTGGTTGAAGTAGCCTCACACTAGGCTTTTGCGAAAGAGCACGCAGAGTGGCAAGTTTAATCGTAGATCTGTCGAAGGCAAGGCTATTATTACTATTGATTACTATAATATATCTACGAACAGAACTCCTATTGTCAGTACTACTAATATTACTACTATCACTACAATTGCTCTTTCCATTCTTATCATTGCTACTATTTTTCACCATTGCTAGTATTCTGTTTCTCCCGGACTCGGCCTGTTGTCAGCACATCCACGCAGTGGCGCCAGACGTGTGGTCGAGGCGTGCCCAGCGCCTGTGCCTTCAAGTACACGTAGCGCCTCTCCTGGGCAAGAGGCTAGTTCTCGTAGTAATGGTAGTAGTAATAATCGTACTTATCGTTTCTAGAGTCAGTAGTGCAGTTATAATATCTATAACTATAACAGAATTATTTCAATAATAATAGTAATAGTGAACATACAAATGAAAAGCCATCTTAGAATACTCTCTGCTTTTCACAACCGAGTGGTTGCAGCACGCTCGCTTGGGCAAGACGGGACCCTGCGAACAGGCGGCGTTCGCTTTCTCGATGGGCTGGAAACGGGTCTTGTACTCTGCGTGCGCCGCTTCAGTGGCGGCATTCTGCTGAGTCCCCCTGCACACAAACGCAACTGCAAGGCGTAAGTCACGAGCCACCGAGGCTTCTCGGAGTTCCTAAACCCTAAACACCTAACTCCCAAACTCAATCCTGAATCCTCAACCATCCTAAACCCCCAAACTAAATCCTCAATCCCAAACCTCCCCACCTCACTTCGGAGGTGCCGTCGAAGATGATGCCGCCTGCGGCGGTCCGAACCGTGCTCTCCTCGGGGCGAAGCTTTCGACGGATGCAGGCAACCCAAAGGCTAACATCGCAAGGCTCCTGCGCTCTCACAGATTGCTATTGTTACTACTATCGTACTGGCATGATGGTTAAAATTAGGATAATTACTAAGATTGCTATGGTTACTACGATCATACCAGCATGATGATGAGGGTTAAAACTGAGAAGAAGTACAACTGCCGGACTGTCTTCACCCGGCTTCGCTCTTGCCGCTGGCGGGAAAAAGCTGCGTGGCCATAGATGGATCGATCACCTGACGCATGGCGAGGCAGCCTATGCTCCGAGGTCGAAATCTCCAAGCTACTCACCATAACAACAACAAACGCAGCCCTAATCACCGTTCCAGCACCGGCTCCGGTTGCGCCGCAACCACCGGCCGCTGAACAAGAAATAGCAATCTAATTACTATGAATATACTCAAATTCATATGACCGTAGCAACAATAACAGTAACAAGAACGATACCCTGAAATCGAGTGAGTTGCCAACGGCTCGCCCGCAACCTCCTGCCAGGTCCCATCCACGAAATCGCTCACTTCCAGGGAATCCAGAACATCCTCAGTCCTCGGCTCTGACGGATTGGCTTGACCCTGAACCCTAAGCCCTAAACCCTAAACCCTTAAAAAACCCTAAACCCTACACTTCGTAAATTAAAGTTGCTAAACCCTAAACCTTGAACCGACAAGAGCAACCTCTGCTCTCTCTGAAGTGTGGTGAGGCACAAGTTGTCCACGGTGGCGAGCACGAAGCGCTCCACCCGAACCTCGGGGAGGAATGCCCACTCCAGAAGAACTGCCTTCGAAGGAGCCTTGCAAAATAAACCCAAAGCACTCTATCCTGGCAAAATCCGGCCTCCCCGTGGCAGGCGCGCAGGTAGAGACCGCGGGTATGGTTGCCTAGGCTGGGTGGGCTATTTGAAGTCGGCTTCGGGCATGGCATTTTGACTCTCTCAGGTTCAGGTGTCCTTGCTCTTGGCTGAACCTGAGTCTGGTGCGGCTGGACCTGAACTGTCGAGGCCTGAGACAGAGTCTGTAGGTCTGGGGCCGGCAAGACAGGCGGAGGGGAGACTGTAGGGGCCTTCGCAGGGGGCTGTCCTGGCATGGCCTTCACCGGCGGCTCCTTCACTAAGCCCTTCTCGGTACCCTCGAACTCCAATTCCTCACAACCTCAACCACCAAACCCCGTAAACCCTAAACTCGAAACCGTGCCTGCAGGATTGTCAGCATCATCGTGGTGTTTTTCGCCCGTGGGGCACCACTCTTCACCCTAAATCCTAAACCCTAAACTCTAAACCCTCAACCTCTCCAAAATCTGGACGGAACAGAGTTTGAGACGACCCCTCTTTTGGAGTTACTTCCCGGGTGTACGAAGTCGGTTCAACTCGGATGCTCTGCGGCCCCAAGCTGACCACGAAGTTTAGCGTTAACATCCACTTAACCCCTGAAACCCTGAAACCCTATACTAAAATGTACCATAATAGACTATAATATACTATGATATACTATAGTAAACCCCAACATCCCTCCAAAAAGCACCATCTCCCACTTTCTTCCACTTTTTCAACCCTCTGAAGTCCAGGCGACCGCCCCAGGTCGGGAGGCTAAAGCTTTGTGGCTTCCAACCTCGGGGACGTTTTGCTTGAAGGGTTTATGTCTTAGCGTTTTGTGTGGGGTGTGTTTGCTTTATGGGTTTAGGGTTTAGGGCTTGGGATTTAGGGTTTCGTGTAGGGTCTTGGGTTTAGGATTGAAGGTTTTCTCTTTCTCAAGCCTTCGGATTGTTGGTTCGGGGTTCGGGGCTCATGGGCTTAGGGCTTAGCAGTGTCGGTCTGAAGGCCAACGCTTCAAAGTTTCGCTTGTCAGCTCTTGGTGGAGACTCGTGGAGAATACTTGAAGGATAATGGGACTTAGTAACTAAGGTTATAACTAACGTAACTATACTGTTTATTGCTTATAACCCCAATTAAGGCATTTATAACAAAACTTACTAAGTCCCCTGATCCTCCAAGTATCAAAGGGGGGCTTAGAAGGCTTTCGGTTCAAACCGTTCTGAAAGCATATCCTGATTTCCACCCACAAAAGCGCAGAACTTAGCTAGAGAAACTTCCCGAGACCCACAGTAAAGAAACAGAAACTTCACGATGTGCATCTATATGTATACACACATATACATTCTTCGAAGCCGGTAAGACCCAAACCCTGAACCCTACACCTCTCCGAACCCTCAATCTCATAATCTTACACGCCCTAACACTAAAGCCCTAGGCTTCTGGGCACCAGGCACTGAGGCTTCACCTCGGGATCTTGATCCGCCTGGCAGAAGAAGCCACAGAAGCTTCGACACTTCGGGCGTTTGCGACTTGTATGGTTCAAAACGTCAACAAAACTACAAGGTGTGCGAGTGATAGGAACGGTACTGGTACTAGTCGGTGGTATTGCAGTCATAGGAACAAGAACAAGAAGCCTGGTAAGACCAAAGCAAGAACAACAGCAAGTAATAGTATCACTGGGCTTCAGGGATTCACGGTTTAGAGCACAGGGCCGAGGAAGCTTAGGGCTTCACGCTAGGTTTGGGCAAACGACCGAGGAAAGAGGGCAGTTCAATCAAAGCACAACTTCTCGAGTCGTTTGGCAAGTAGAGCGCAAGTTCAGTTTGCTTCTCACCTGGTTTAGGGTTTAGGGTTCAGTTGACGGGTTTCGACACTTCCAAGCATAGAATGCAGGAACGAAGAGCGAGCCAGACCTGAAGTCGAGGCTTCCTCTCACTTCTCCAAAGACACGGCGGCGGCGCCCCACAGAGCTTGCCGTTCCCGTACTTGACCTGCTCGGCTTGCATCTCGGGCCCATCTGCTCAGCCATACATGTATGTGTGCATGTGTGTATACATGAATATATATATATATATATATGTGTATACATATATATATATACATATACATATACATATAAAAATTGACAGAGCGGGAAGCAGCAAACCCCTGCTTTAAAAAACTGCAGTTTGCAACCGCAAACGCATCCGTCCACACGTCCACTGAGCTCCAGAGGACCCTCGTCAAACGAGGCCTGAAAAACCGAAAAGCCAAAGCCCAGGCGGTCGAGGCTTTGGGCTTCATTAGGGTTTAGGGTGTAGGGTTTAGGGTTTGGGGTTTAGGGTTTGGGGTTTAAGGTTTAGGTAGGGTTTAGGGCCTTTAGGGTCCAGGGATTGGGTGTTCTTGAAGGTCTTAGGTTTCAAAGAACACCCCGCTCTTCCTGTGCCTGCTGCTTCCCGCTCCAGGACGCCAGAGTGCCGTTGAAGCCGGAGACTCCCTGGCAGTTGGGGCAACCTGAAGGGAGCTCTTGCGTTCTACGACGCGGCGCAGGGAAGAACCTAGGATCTGCAGCTTAAACGACCACGTCCACATTGGAATCACGGGGGCGTGACTGGAGCTGGGATCAGCGCGCCTCGAGTGTAGGTCTTCAGCGTCTTGCCACGGAAATTCGGCAAGTCCGGCGTCGCTCTCCTGCGACTGCGAGTCACGGGAACTCTGCGATGCCTACGGCTGCCAGAGCCCTAACTGCCTCCACTCTCCGTCGTCAAGATCATAACTCCAGATGGCGTACCTCGTGCAGCAGCGAGCACGCACACAGTTCTCTCCCGGGCTCCCATCATGGAGGCAACAGAGCGAACAAAGCGCCCAGGACAAAACACTCTCTTCCCTGAGGGCTGGAGCCGTGACGCCCGCAATTTTTTGGGAATATGGCGTCATACTATAATGTCAGTGTAGCAACACCCCCAAAAACCCGGTTCTAGTTTCTCTGCTAAGGCCCCCTACAACCTACATTCAAAGGGTAAACGGAGGGACCCCTAATAAGGACCCCTAGGTATATACCCATAATTAATATAGCTATTATATACCCATCATATAGCCCATTATCGGTTACCGCAAGCAAAGAAAACCGGAGCCCTTGGACCCGCCTGTCGCGCGTCCCCGACTCGGGGATCTGATCCGGCGAGGGCCACTCGGCTCTCCTCGGAGGTTCATGGGTAGTTATAAGTAGGGTTCTAAGTAGGGTTCCTTTAAAGGGATCTGTAGGGTTTTCTATACGGGTATAGGGTTTGGGGTCTACTTGGAGGTTCATGGGTAGTTATAAGTAGGTAAGTAGGGTTATGAGAGTCTATGAGTAGGGCAACTATAACTATCAGTCGGGATCTTTGTTGCGGCTACTTGGAGGTTCATGGGTAGTTATAAGTGGGGTTATAAGTAGGGTAACTATAACTGTAACCCATATAATGGGACTTATAACCCCACTTATAACTGCCCTTGAACCTCCAAGATCCTCCAAGTGCAGGGGCCCACGCCGTCCCCAGGGGTTCGGGTTCCGGGTTTAGGAAGGGTTTAGGACTTGAGATTGAGTGTTTGCGGCTTTAAGGTTGAGGCATTTCTAGAGTTTAGGCCATTGGGGCCCCAAGATCAGCAGGACCCTTCCATGCCATCCCAGGAGCCGCTTGAGCATCACATAAATTCTACCGTCTGGGCCAGCACGCCAGGGATGGGCGTAACCTCCGCAAGTACCAAACGGGTGTGGGCTTTTCAGCGGTTTCGATTTTTTCACACCTGACTCCAACTGCAGGAGTCGGAAAATGTGCGACACTCAGGAAAGCCAGGGAGCAAGATCATCCACCAACTTGCAGGGGGTTAAGTCGAAAACCTCCAATCTCCCAGATAGCTGGCCTTGGTAGCGGTTGTCGCTGAAGGTCTCGGGGTAGGCACCCAGTTCGTCTGCAGCCGGGAACTCCTCTCATCTGACATTGTAGAGAATAGGCGAGGGAGTAGGAATGAAAGCGTATGTATGTATGCAGGCATGCATGTAAGTATGTATTTGTGTACATATACACGTGTATAAGTATGTGTATGCTACAGCACGTAACCGCCCGTTTAAATGTTCATGTGTCTGTTGATCTGCTCATGTGTTTGTATGTTGATATAAACACTGTCTAAACTGAGTCAAAGTGATTTGTTTATCTGCATATATGCGCGTATGTTACCATACATAATTATGCACAGACATTACCTCTGCATCTTGAATTTTTTACATATTTTTACAAATATAGATATATATATATATGTATATGTATATGTACAATTATACCTACACATATACATATACATATACACATACATATACATATACATGTACATATACATATACATATACATATACATATACATATATATATATATATATATATATACATATACATATACACATACACATACACATACACATACACATACACATACATATATATATATATACATATACATATACATACACATATACATACACATACACATATACATACACATATACATATACATATACATATACATATACATATACATGTACATGTACATGCACATGTACATGTACATATACATATACATATACATATACATATACATATACATATACATATACATATACATATACATATACGTATACGTATACATATACATATACATATACATATACATATACATATACATATACATATACATATACATATACATATACAGATACATATACATATACATATACATATACATATACATATACATGTACATGTACATGTACATGTACATGTACATGTACACATACATATTATACATATACATATACATGTACACATACATATTATACATATACATATACATATACATATACATATACATATACATATACATATACATGTACATATACATATACATATACATATACATATACATATACATATACATATACATATACATATACATATACATATACATATACAGTACGTATAAGCTGCAGGGATACACAGACTCCCAAGGTCCTCGTTCTTGTTCCAGACGCCTGTGAGGGACTCCCAGTCGCTCGTGCTGTTTCGGCGATACCAGGCATACCTTGGTTTGGGGCTTAGGGGCTTAGGGGAATAAGGGCTTTGGGTTTAGGGGTTTAGGCACGCTCACCATAGCACATGCTACGTGTATTACGGTGACGTCTTCAATCGTGTGTTCCGCAATTTGCTCCTGACAGCCTCGTAGAATAATCGCCGAACAAGCTACATGCAGGGGACAAGGCCTGGGCTCAGACCATAAACATCAACATTCGCAAAATAGGGCTCAAGATCCACGGCTTCTCACTTCTGCGAGAACTCCGAATGGTGAAGTCTGCCGCAAAGGACTCATTCTGTCATCAGGGATCCCGAGCTAAGTTACTCGTAACAAGACCCAAGTGACCTGCGGAGGCCGAACTTGGTGACGAGCATGAGACCCGTCTCGCCCAGGGACAACTCGCCGCCTGCGAGTATTTCGACAGCCGGGGCGGAAGGGTCTCAGTCTCCACAGCGCGAGTTGTTGGGCTTCGGGCTTCCGGCTTGGGACAACGGTAAGAGCGCTCAAGATCTTCGGGAGCTTTCGGCTTCTGAGCCATTCTGAGCCATGCGGCCGCTGCCGAAATTCGTCGTCGCGTTCCAGACCTCCGAGCGGTTTAGGGTTTTTGGGTTTAGGGTTTTTGGGTTTGGGGTTTTTGGGTTTAGGGGTTAGGGGGTTTAGGGGCTTCGGAGGCATCAAGGGGCGCTTCTCCGGGCCTTCACCATGGAAGCGTCCGACCCCTCCACGTCCACACGGAAGAGACCTGGCAGTGTCAAGAACCCCTCGCCGTAGAGCGGCGAGCGTCTAGGACTTTCCATTCATGCCTCTGTGCCACCCCTGGACTCCTGAAAGGTCTTCAGACTCCATCACCCGAGACGACCCCGCTAACTTCCTACAAAGCCGTCACCCCTAAACCTTAAACCCTAAACCCTAAACCTTAAACCCTAAACCCTAAACCCCTAAACCTTAAACCCTCAACTTCTCCGAAATGTGCCCAGGAATCAGAAAAGGAGGACCTCGGCTTGTGAGGAGGAAGCTCGGTCCGGCTGGTGGCTGTGTGGCCATTCCTTTCTTTGGGGTTTTGGTTGCTTCTCTGCTTCTCTTATTATGGATTAAAGGGTTTGGGGTTTAGGGTTCAGGGATTTATAGACTAGAGGGTTGAGGGTTTCGATGTTTGGTTCCAGGTTGGGTTTAGGGTGAGGGCCTTGGCCTTGCAATTCAGGGACCACAACGCAGTCTAGCACAGCTATGGCCGGCTAAGGGAGCTTCACCTGGAGCAGCATTCACGGAACTTCATCATCATCTCTGTGTGTAAGACGAGGAATATGGGAGCTTCCGAAACAGGGGATCCTATTATCGTATCCTAAATAGTAGGATCCTGATTATAAGGACCCCAAAATAAGGTTCCCCTATTTGCGGAAACTCCCATCTGAGGAACAGAGCAAGAGGGTGCGGCCCGGCTCGGCCCAGCATTCAAACCGGCATCATCAAGTGCTGGCATCCCAAGCGGCCGTAAATGGAGTATCGGAAGCGCGGGGCCCCAGGCAGCGTGGTCCAACTATCGCGGCTGGCCAGGGCCACCCAGGCACGCCAGAGCCTCACGGGACTACGGACCTCCCTGAGGGCTTCAGGCTTGCGGGCCTTCTGGCATTGCAACATGGAAGTAAAGGGGGGGGCCTACCGCCGATAGCTCTACGGTCTGCAACGAAAGGCCCGAATCCGACTCTTGTTGGCCAGGTGACAAAGCTGTCAGCACAAGGCGGCTGAAGCCCGCCATGCTGGGATTGAAGCACCTGTCACTTCAATCCCACGCAAGATGCGCGAGCGACCCGGCTACTTTCTGAGGGCCCCTTGTGCCCAGCCGGTAGAATTCTGAGAGCTTCACGGCGGCGGGATGAGAAACTTCGGTATGCAAAACAGCCTGCCAAGCCTGCCTGCGGCTTGTGTTTGCAGCACCCTTCACCCGTCTTTTCGGCATGTCACAGCCTCCCACTGTAGACCGGATGCCTTGACAGCCACCCTTTCCCCGAAGCACTGCTGGAGCCGATGAAATGGTTTCGTCGGAGCTGACAGGGCTCTTTAGTGGTCTGCAGTCCGCAAGACGAGATTTCATCGGACGCAGAGATCTACCCCAAAAGAACTCCACGGGTGGCGTCTGGAGCTGCAATGAGCAGGGCCCCAACTTTCCCCACTGACACATTGCTTGCCAGCTCTCAACCCCGGCTCGCGACTTTGCGCGGCAGGCCAGCTTTGATTAAAAGGATCCATAGGGGTTCTAGATGGTGTATGGCATTTTTGGAGTTCTGTGTCAAGGAACTTGATTTGAGTTACCATACGAAGGCTCTACAATGAATGTTTCTGCTTTCTGTACTACTGAGAGCAGGAGCGGCCTTTCAAAGACCCGAACACCCTGAATTCTGGCAACTGAGGTAAAGTTCCTCAACAGGAGCTAGGAACCCTTCACGCGCCAGGCCGAGGGCACGCGCCACCTCCACAAGCAGAGAAGATGCACACGGTAGATGTTATGGAACAGTATTCAAGCTTTATCATGTGCTAGATCTATCCATGTAGATGAATTTGCATGCAGACAGACGTGCATCTTGTCATACATACAGACATGCAGACATACATCTGTTTGTATGTCTGTATGTCATACATGCAGACATACACGGGAAGTGAGAACAAAAGTGCGAGCGGGAGTGTGAGCGGGATCCGGGATTGTGAGTGGGAGTGTGAGCGGGATCCGGGAGTGTACTTAACCTCACACTCCCGGTCACAATCAACCTCACACTTCCGCTCACACTCAACCTCGCACTTCCGGTCACACTCAGAATCCCCGACACACTCAACCTCTCACTTCCGTTCACACTCAACCACACTTAAGCTCACACTCAGAATCCCCGCTCTCTCTCAACCTCACACTTGCGAACACTCAGAATCCCCGCACACACTCAACCTCACACTTCCACTCACACTCTCGCTCACACGAATCCTGACGCGAATATTTCTTTCAGACTATCCCAAACATTGCAACGACCCGGTCTCATAAAGATAGAAATAAAGACATGGAGAGATACAGACGTAGAGAGATAGAGAGACAGACATCCCATATATCGCACTACATTATCTCCTATAGATTCGCTTCACTTTGGGAAGCCTCTGCAGCTGCTGCTGCAGGGCTGTTGGATCCATCTGCTTGAAGGGGCAGCCGTGAACCTGCGCGCCGAGCTTTTCAGGAGCTCTCAGAGATGGCGAAAGACCCGTTCTCTTCCCTCTGAGGCACCTGATGAAACTTTCCAACATGAGAATGCTGTTCATGATGGTCGTAGAAAAGAAAACGACTTGGACATTAAGAATCATGTGCTAACTTTATGGAACTATCATCCACCTGATGCTTGAGTTGTGGGGCCTTGGCTTTTTACAGCAAAGCCCCGCACAGCCATTTCCCGAGACCAGTACAGTGAAACACTGAAGCCCGGGCAGCGGGCAAGTTCCTGCTAGCGTCACCGCAGGCTTTAAGCAGGGGACTTTGAAAGGCTACAGCGTAGTTTTGTATGGATGGAGTCAAGTGGGCAACTTCCGTGGTGTTCAACAGACGTCCCGAGCCGGAGCCAGCTCTGCACGGCATCAGAATCAGCCGCACGGACTGCTGGCCACTAGGGAGACATTGCAGCCCCAGCGTCGCCCTTTCATCCCTCTTCAGATACGGGCTTCAGGCAAGTTCCTGTGATTCAGAACTCACCGAGCTCACCCTCAGATGTCAGAGTTACAACACGGTGTTCCGACATATTCCTTCTCAGCCACGGGCAGCTGGCCAGCGCGGCCAGCACCAAAACTTCCAGCAGTTGTTGGTCCACCCATTGTCCCAGCGGTTCCTTTGCCATTTGCATGGCATGGCATACGGCGGAAACCGAAGCATAAACCTGAACTGACATGAGTGGCTCCTGGACGAATCATAGATGAATGCCTTCGAATCGAAGAGCTGGTTGTACCTGACAGCATGGGATCTACTGCAACGGAAACATGGCGCTTGTCTGACTCTGAACTTCCGGGCACTCATCAACATCAAGATCGTCGACCGGAACAAGGTTTCCATCACGGGCTACCTTCGCTGTCTCTCTTCGCAACTCACCGAACACAGCCTGGCGATACCAATTGATGCATGAGCTCCAAGCCACGTAGAATGTGTGGTGTTTCCACTCTTGTCCCAATTCATTCCTGACGGTTATAGGTTGCCACAAGTCCATGTACCGGCTGCCTACGATTATATCGCCCACGATCCTCGAAACGAGGCCGATGTGGATCTTGAAGATGGGCCTGAGCAGCTACAAAACTGCGCTGCTCGTCTTGCCCTGCACGTGAACTTCTCACTGCCACTGAGGTTGAGGACCCTTCGATGGCCAGCAGCCCAACAGAGAATGCAAGGTGCGACCTCAGATGCAGAAATCCCTCGCTTCCACACGCAGCTGCTCAAAGACAAGCGAAAATGCCCAATGCCCAATGTGACAGTCAAGGCAGGAGCACCACTGCTATCTCATCTTCCCACATGCCCTGTCCAGGACAAGCGAGCAAGTGAAGGATGCAGAAACAATGGCAGACGGGCATCACAAGGCCTTCTGTGCTAATAGCAAAGCAAGATACACATCCAGGATGACCCCAAACCTCAACATTTGTGGCATCGTCAAAAGCACGAAAGCTCAAGGAACACCCAAAACCAACACGCACCTCGTCCGCTGAACAGCTGATGGGCTGAGGCAGTGGCAGCCCAATCACGCATAGGCCTGAGAAGGGCCCGCGGCAAACAACGACGATCCCATCTACGGAAACACTTTGCTGTACCGCATGAAACGGGCGGTCGAAAGTGTACCTTCTTGTGACACTCTGCTGATCCCAGCAAAGGATACGGTGGGCACAGAGCCAACAAGCGAGTCAGCAGTGCATGAGCATCGGCATGATCCCTGTGGAATTCCTTCAGCTTGGCTCCCGGCAAACAAGCATCACAACGAACTCCCTGTGATTAAGGAGACCTCGAGGCAAGTTTGCAACACGGCATTATCACTTTATCACAAGTCCTGCAGGGCATTTGATTAACAAGTCTGAGAGTTGCGCCGATGACGTTATGGACCCACTTGCCTTGTTTCAGCACCGCACAACAGGCGCAAAGCTGGATCACGACGACTCGCCATTCCTATCACCAGCTGCTGCTGCAGCGGCAGTAATGATCGTACCGTCTGATCTTTCGACCGTATTGCCAGGACCTGGGAAGCAGAACGAAAATCCGACTGCCCAACAGCCCAGAGCCTACCGCACCAACCCGGTGCCGGACTCATGAGCTCGGAGTGGGCGCTCACCCTGCTCCGACACTTTGAAGCGCAATTGCTAGCTCCCCAATTCCGACACTGCCCCGGACCTGCTCCAGGTCAAGCGGGGTATTCAGGGTCTTCCTGAGTGTACCCGGGTCTGCCAAAGAGCAGTACCTGCAATGCAGAATCATGGGATGCGCACGAATGGAACCAAGCAGCTCCAAACAGGCCCGAGCTACAGCATCAGGACTACAGTCACCGCAGCCAACCCCGCTTGCAAGGCTGTCAATGGAGCCTCGCCAGCGTACTCTCCATATATCGGTGTCAAGCATGATGCACAGCCTACAGTGGGATCCTGCCTCGGCGTGCGGCCAGCTCTGCAAACGGCAGAGTACCGGAACGTGAACCCACGCCAGACAAATCGAGCTGGCTGCCTGAACCACAGGTCCACTGGCCCGCAGCTCGCAATGAGAAACTGCCGTGTCATTCTTCTCAGTTTCAGACGACGGAAATGCTCAGCGCCTGCAATTGTACAAGCAGCACAGTGCAACAGAAGCCAACTTCGCCACAACACAAGCCGGGACGGCAAAAGGCAGCAGAGGCTTCAAGTCGAAGCCGAAATAAACGTACTCGGCCCTCCTCGGAGAATAGTGGTCGTCTGGCCCACGAGCGTCTCACGCCACTCTGCGAGTGTTGAGGACGCAACGCTTCTTCCAAACCTGGCTCCTGGCGCACAGGCACAGGCAAAGACTGTTTCACGAGAGAGTGCCTCGAAGCGACAACAGGCCGGGGCGGCAGAGGCAGACTCCTGCACGGAGTCCTGTCCGCCCTGTGACGTCGGCGACGACGGAAGCAGCATCCTCGGGCGAGCTGGTTTGCCAGCCGCATCGGCGAGACCAACACAGGCGAGGCTCGTTGAAGGCAGGTTTCCGCCCGGCATGCTTTGTGATCCAGGCCTTCATTCTGCACTCATGCGACATGCCCAGGCTGCAGTGTCCGGAGAAGGACGGCTGAGGACTTCGCGGTCCCAGCCTTCCGTACCTAGCATCCAAGCCAGAGCAGTCAAAGCACCTGCACTCGTCTCTGAGTCAGCGCACGTCGGCACTTGCAGTTGGGGACCTGTCTTGGAAAGGGACCCAGAGCAAACGACCACGTCACGCAGACGGTGCAAAACCAAGGAGCCTCCAGCAGCCCATGTCGGCGGGAGCATGCTGTGAGGCAGGCTGTGGCTCGTAGAGTACGCCAAATATGAGCCGAGACTGCAGATGGAAGCATGGAGCACTGGACTTCATTGGCTGGCAGATTCTGTCAGATTCCCCCCCTCCGCAAGAGCCCAGCACCCGAAACTTTAACCCCTAACCTCGGCCCTAAACTTTAAACTTTAACCCGAGACCCTGGCCACCCTGAGCCCAAGGGAACGGGCCTGACCAACCGCCTCACCGGGCAGCCCGATGAGGCACGCCAGAGCCTCACGGGACTACGGACCTCCCTGAGGGCTTCAGGCTTGCGGGCCTTCTGGCATTGCAACATGGAAGTAAAGGGGGGGGCCTACCGCCGATAGCTCGACGGTCTGCAACGAAAGGCCCGAATCCGACTCTTGTTGGCCAGGTGACAAAGCTGTCAGCACAAGGCGGCTGAAGCCCGCCATGCTGGGATTGAAGCACCTGTCACTTCAATCCCACGCAAGATGCGCGAGCGACCCGGCTACTTTCTGAGGGCCCCTTGTGCCCAGCCGGTAGAATTCTGAGAGCTTCACAGCGGCGGGATGAGAAACTTCGGTATGCAAAACAGCCTGCCAAGCCTGCCTGCGGCTTGTGTTTGCAGCACCCTTCACCCGTCTTTTCGGCATGTCACAGCCTCCCACTGTAGACCGGATGCCTTGACAGCCACCCTTTCCCCGAAGCACTGCTGGAGCCGATGAAATGGTTTCGTCGGAGCTGACAGGGCTCTTTAGTGGTCTGCAGTCCGCAAGACGAGATTTCATCGGACGCAGAGATCTACCCAAAAGAACTCCACGGGTGGCGTCTGGAGCTGCAATGAGCAGGGCCCCAACTTTCCCCGCTGACACATTGCTTGCCAGCTCTCAACCCCGGCTCGCGACTTTGCGCGGCAGGCCAGCTTACCCCGTGCAAGCTCTGCCGACATTCTTCATTGTGTGTGCGTGCGTGCATGCCACATCTGTGCTCTTGCAAAACCATGACAGCCTCTGTGCGCACTTGTCTGCCTTGTTTTTAAGATCACATGTTGATGGCAAATGCTCACCAAGGGCTTCACTGCTTCGAAGTATCCTTGGACCAAGCTCTTAAAGCCAACACCCCGACATATTTGGGGATGTGAAGCACTTCTTCCTGCACCTCCAGACCGTTCTACTAAACTGAAGACCCGTGCAACGGATACGAATATGGACGCGCCTGCTACTACGACGATACGACGACGAGGACGAGCACCGCGACCACCACTGCCAGTGCGATTCCGGGGCTCTACGATTAGCGAGACGAGCCTTGCGTTTTGTGCTCGACGTTACGAGTTTGCAACTTCTCTGAGGCCAAGGCGGCGATTGGCGCCGGACTGCCGGCCGACTCTCCCTTCGCGGCATCTTTGGCCTGTCGACGTCTCGTTTTCAATCTGGGCAGACTCCGGGCCCAGGCTCCGAACACCTCAAACCAAACCCTCAACACAGCCCGCTTCCGCCGCTGCCGCTTCGTGGCCATGCTACCCTGGTCTAGAGAGGAAGACAACTTCATTCACAGGGCGGCAAGGCTGGAAGACAAGGCCTTCTTCTTGTGATAAACACCTGCAACAGCTCAGCCCCAGATGGCCGACGTCTCTGTCTCCACCAACCGAGTCTCGGGCAGCTCTCTTTGAAGAAATCCAGGGGACTATTGCCAACCTCGTAGAGGCCAGAAACAAGGTGGAACCTGCCTCTGCCGCACGACTAGACAAGGACTTGCCACATCTCGGTCGCTGCTGAGTGGTGAACGCCATCGCCCTCATGATTCGGATGCTGCGACCTGACTATACATAATACTGGATGCAGTCTGTAAAACATGTTCGTATACACACATAGCAGTTAAAGCGTGCATATACATATATCTACATATATGTATGTATGTGTGTGTATATATATATATATACATATATGGGGCGAGCATACAATGTCGATCTATATATACATACATAGTACTGCTCTTGGAAAGATCTGCCTTTAGATCAGATACGGCACACAAGACGAAGCTCCAGCTCGCTCGGCCCAAGGCTTGAAGTACTCGATGCAGGCCTCCTGGTAACGCTTGCCTTGTTTGAGGTTTGGGGTTTGGGGTTTAGAGTTTGGGGTTTTGGGGGTACGGAACCCTAAAAGGGAAGCCTAGGCCATGAGCCCTGCCTTCTTTGATCAGCCGCTCGATCTCGCCGACATATGCCTCGGCGCAGCGGGCAGCTCTTGGGTTCAGGTAAGACAGCCCTGGATCTGGGATCTTTCTTGCTTGGAGATGGTACTTGATGTAAGTTACAGAAGTCGCTATAGTCACCATGATTAAAAGGATCCATAGGGGTTCTAGATGGTGCATGGCCTTTTCGAGTTCTGTGTCAAGGAACTTCATTTGAGTTAGCATACGAAGGATCTACAATAATTTTCTGTGCTTTCTGTACTACTGAGACCAGAAGCAGCCTTAAGCCCCGAAAAATCCCAAAATTCCAGTAACTTAGGTTTAAGTCCTCAACAAGATCTCGGAACCCTCAGGTGCCAGGCTGAGGGCACGCGCCACCTCCACAAGCGGAAAAGGTGCACACATTAGATATTGTGGAACATTATTCAGGTTTTATCATGCGCTAGCCGCTAGCTATATCCATGTACATGAATGTGCATACAGACAGACATGCATCTTGTCATGCATACAGACATACATCTGTCTGTATGTCTGTATGTACAGACAGACGACAGATCAACAGATGGATAGATAGATGGATGGATGAAAGATGGATAGATAGATCGATAAATAGAAATAGAGGGATAGAGAGATACGGACATAGAGACATAGGGAGATAGACATCCCAAACATCAAACAACAATAAAGCATTTCCTCCAAATTCACTTGACTACCTGATCCTCACTCTGGGAAGCCTCTGCAGCTGCTGTTGTAGGGCTTTTGGATCCATCTGCTTGAAGGGGCAGCCGTGAACCTGCGCGCCGAGTCTTTCAGGAACTGTCAGAGCTGAACAAAGAACCGTTCTCTTCCCTCTGAGGCACCTGACGAAACTTTCCAAAATGAGAGAATAAGACACTGTTCATGATGGTCGTAGAAAGGAATGCGACTAGGTGACTAGGACATTAAGAATCATGTGCTAGCTGTATGGAGTTATCATGGAATCATGGACGTGATAGAGGAGTTGTGGGGCCATGGCTCTTTACAGCAAAGGTCGGCATAACCCTTGTGCCTTTTGCCGATACCAGTACAGTGAAACACGGCAGGGGCATCCTGCTGTTCAGCACGGATAGCGTCACCGCAGGCTTAGGGCAGTGCGGCTGATTCTGATGCCGTGCAGAGCTGGCTCCGGGGCTCGGGATGTCTGTTGAACAGCGACAGACGGGAGAATCGGCCAGCCAAGTCCAGCAGTCCATGCTGTGCGCCGCTGCTGAAGCACGGAACTTGCCCACTTGACTCCATCCATACTAGACTACGCTGCAGCCTTTCAAAGTCCCCTGCCATGTGGACTGCTGGGCACTGGGGAGACATTGCAGCCCCAGCATCGCCTTTTAATCCCTTTTCAGATACGTGGCTTCAGGCAAGTTCCTGTGATTCAGAACTCACCGAGCTCACCCTCAGATGTCAGAGTTACAACACGGTGTTCCGACATATTCCTTCTCAGCCACGGGCAGCTGGCCAGCGCGGCCAGCACCAAAACTTCCAGCAGTTGTTGGTCCACCCATTGTCCCAGCGGTTCCTTTGCCATTTGCATGGCATGGCATACGGCGGAAACCGAAGCATAAACCTGAACTGACATGAGTGGCTCCTGGACGAATCATAGATGAATGCTTTCGAATCGAAGAGCTGGTTGTACCTGACAGCATGGGATCTACTGCAACGGAAACATGGCGCTTGTCTGACTCTGAACTTCCGGGCACTCATCAACATCAAGATCGTCGACCGGAACAAGGTTTCCATCACGGGCTACCTTCGCTGTCTCTCTTCGCAAATCACCGAACACAGCCTGGCGATACCAATTGATGCATGAGCTCCAAGCCACGTAGAATGTGTGGTGTTTCCATTCTTGACCCAGTTCATTCCTGCCGGTTCTAGGTTGCCACAAGTCCATGTACCGGCTGCCTACGATTATATCGCCCACGATCCTCGAAACGAGGCCGATGTGGATCTTGAAGATGGGCCTGAGCAGCTACAAAACTGCGCTGCTCGTCTTGCCCTGCACGTGAATTTCTCACTGCCACTGAGGTTGAGGACCCTTCGATGGCCAGCAGCCCAACAGAGAATGCAAGGTGCGACCTCAGATGCAGAAATCCCTCGCTTACACACGCAGCTGCTCAAAGACAAGCGAAAATGCCCAATGCCCAATGTGACAGTCAAGGCAGGAGCACCACTGCTATCTCATCTTCCCACATGCCCTGTCCAGGACAAGCGAGCAAGTGAAGGATGCAGAAACAATCGCAGACGGGCATCACAAGGCCTTCTGTGCTAATAGCAAAGCAAGATACACATCCAGGATGACCCCAAACCTCAACATTTGTGGCATCGTCAAAAGCACGAAAGCTCAAGGAGCACCCAAAACCAACACGCACCTCGTCCGCTGAACAGCTGATGGGCTGAGGCAGTGGCAGCCCAATCACGCATAGGCCTGAGAAGGGCTCGCGGCCAACAACGACGATCCCATCTACGGAAACACATTGCTGTACCGCATGAAACGGGCGGTCGAAAGTGTACCTTCTTGTGACACTCTGCTGATCCCTGCAAAGGATACGGTGGGCACAGAGCCAACAAGCGAGGCAGCAGTGCATGAGCATCGGCATGATCCCTGTGGAATTCCTTCAGCTTGGCTCCCGGCAAACAAGCATCACAACGAACTCCCTGTGATTAAGGAGACCTCGAGGCAAGTTTGCAACACGGCATTATCACTTTATCACAAGTCCTGCAGGGCATTTGGTTAACAAGTCTGAGAGTTGCGCCGATGACGTTATGGACCCACTTGCCTTGTTTCAGCACCGCACAACAGGCGCAAAGCTGGATCACGACGACTCGCCATTCCTATCACCAGCTGCTGCTGCAGCGGCAGTAATGATCGTACCGTCTGATCTTTCGACCGTATTGCCAGGACCTGGGAAGCAGAACGAAAATCCGACTGCCCAACATCCAGAGCCTACCGCACCAACCCGGTGCCGGACTCATGAGCTCGGAGTGGGCGCTCACCCTGCTCCGACACTTTGAAGCGACAATTGCTAGCCCCCCAATTCCGACACTGCCCCGGACCTGTTCCAGGTCAATCCCGTCGAGCGGGGTATTCAGGGTCTTCCTGAGTGTACCCGGGTCTGCCAAAGAGCAGTACCTGCAATGCAGAATCATGGGATCACGAATGGAACCAAGCAGCTCCAAACAGGCCCGAGCTACAGCATCAGGACTACAGTCACCGCAGCCAACCCCGCTTGGCAGGCTGTCAAAGGAGCCTCGCCAGCATACTCTCCATATATCGGTGTCAAACATGATGCACAGCCTACAGTGGGATCCTGCCTCGGCGTGCGGCCAGCTCTGCAAACGGCAGAGTGCCGGAACGTGAACCCACGCCAGACAAATGGAGCTGGCTGCCTGAACCACAGGTCCACTGGCCCGCAGCTCGCAATGAGAAACTGCCGTGTCATTCTTCTCAGTTTCAGGCGACGGAAATGCTCAGCGCCTGCAATTGTACAAGCAGCACAGTGCAACAGAAGCCAACTTCGCCACAACACAAGCCGGGACGGCAAAAGGCAGCAGAGGCTTCAAGTCGAAGCCGAAATAAACGTACTCGGCCCTCCTCGGAGAATAGTGGTCGTCTGGCCCACGAGCGTCTCACGCCACCCTGCGAGTGTTGAGGACGCAACGCTTCTTCCAAACCTGGCTCCTGGCGCACAGGCACAGGCAAAGACTGTTTCACGAGAGAGTGCCTCGAAGCGACAACAGGCCGGGGCGGCAGAGGCAGACTCCTGCACGGAGTCCTGTCCGCCCTGTGACGTCGGCGACGACGGAAGCAGCATCCTCGGGCGAGCTGGTTTGCCAGCCGCATCGGCGAGACCAACACAGGCGAGGCTCGTTGAAGGCAGGTTTCCGCCCGGCATGCTTTGTGATCCAGGCCTTCATTCTGCACTCATGCGACATGCCCAGGCTGCAGTGTCCGGAGAAGGACGGCTGAGGACTTCGCGGTCCCAGCCTTCCGTACCTAGCATCCAAGCCAGAGCAGTCAAAGCACCTGAACTCGTCTCTGAGTCAGCGCACGTCGGCACTTGCAGTTGGGGACCTGTCTTCGGAAGGGACCCGGAGCAAACGACGTGACGCAAACGGTGCAAAACCAAGGAGCCTCCAGCAGCCCATGTCGGCGGGAGCATGCTGTGAGGCAGGCTGTGGCTCGTAGAGTACGCCAAATATGAGCCGAGACTGCAGATGGAAGCATGGAGCACTGGACTTCATTGGCTGGCAGATTCTGTCAGATTCCCCCCTTCACAAGAGCCCAGAACCCGAAACTTTCAACCCTAAACTCCTAAACCCTCGGCCCTAAACTTCAAACTTCAACCCGAGATCCTGGCCGCCCTGAGCCCAAGGGAAAGGGCCTGACCAACCGCCTCACCGGGCATGAGGCGCACCAGAGCCTCACGAGAGTACGGACCTCCCTGAGGGCTTCAGGCTTGCGGGGCGTCTGGCACTGCAACATGGAAGAAAAGGGGGGGGGGCCTACCGCCGATAGCTCCACGGTCTGCGACGAAAGGCCCGAATCCGACTCTTGTTGGCCAGGTGACAGAGCTGTCAGCACAAGGCGGCTGAAGCCCGGCATGCTGGGACTGAAGCACCTGTCGCTTCAATCCCACGCAAGATGCGCGAGCAACCTGGCTACTTTCTGAAGGCCCCTTGTGCCCGGCCGGTAGAATTCTGAGAGCTTCACGGCGGCGGGATGAGAAACTTCGGTATGCAAAACAGCCTGCCAAGTCTGCCTGCGGCTTGTGTATGCAGCACCCTTCACCCGTCTTTCGGCATGTCACAGCCTCCCACTGTAGACCGGATGCCTTGACAGCCACCCTTTCCCCGAAGCACTGCTAGAGCCGATGAAATGGTTTGGACAGGGCTCTTTAGTGGTCTGCAGTCCGCAAGACGAGATTTCATCGGACGCAGAGATCTACCCAAAAAAACTCCACGGGTGGCGTCTGGAGCTGCAATGAGCAGGGCCCCAACTTTCCCCGCTGACACATTGCTTGCCAGCTCTCAACCCCGGCTCGCGACTTTGCGCGGCAGGCCAGCTTACCCCGTGCAAGCTCTGCCGACATTCTTCATTGTGTGTGCGTGCGTGCGTGCGTGCCACATCTGTGCTCTTGCAAAACCATGACAGCCTGTGTGCGCACTTGTCTGCCTCGTTTTTAAGATCACATGTTGATGGCAAATGCTCTCACCAAGGGCTTCACTGCTTCGAAGTATCCTTGGACCAAGCTCTTAGAGCCAACACCCCGACATATTTGGGGACTGCACCTCCAGACCGTTCTACTAAACTGAAGACCCATGCAACGGATACGAATATGGACGCGCCTGCTACTACGACGACGAGGACGAGCACCGCGACCACCACTGCCAGTGCGATTCCGGGGCTCTACGATTAGCGAGACGAGCCTTGCGTTTTGTGCTCGACGTTACGAGTTTGCAACTTCTCTGAGGCCAGGGCGGCGATTGGCGCCGGATTGCTGGCCGACTCTCCCTTCGCGGCATCTTTGGCCTGTCGACGTCTCGTTTTCAGTCTGGGCAGACTCCTGGCCCAGGCTCCGAACACCTCAAACCAAACCCTCAACACAGCCCGCTTCCGCCGCTGCCGCTTCGTGGCCATGCTACCCTGGTCTAGAGAGGAAGACAGCATCATTCACAGGGCGGCAAGGCTGGAAGACAAGGCCTTCTTCTTGTGATAAACACCTGCAACAGCTCAGCCCCAGATGGCCGACGTCTCTGTCTCCACCAACCGGGTCTCGGGCAGCTCTCTTTGAAGAAATCCAGGGGACTATTGCCAACCTCGTAGAGGCCAGAAACAAGGTGGAACCCGCCTCTGCCGCACGCCTAGCTGAGTGGTGAACGCCATCGCCCTCATGATTCGGATGCTGCGACCTGACTATACATAATACTGGATGCAATCTGTAAAACATGTTCGTATACACACATAGCAGTTAAAGTGTGCATATACATATATCTACACGTGTATATATATATATATATATATATATATATACATACACATGTATATGGGGCGAGCATACAGTGTGTATATGTATATATATATACACACATATCTAGTACTGTTCTTGGAAAGATCTGCCTTCAGATCAGCTACGGCACACAAAACGAAGCTCCAGCTCGCTCGGCCCAAGGCTTGAAGTACTCGATGCAGGCCTCCTGGTAACGCTTGCCTTGTCTAGGGTTTAGGGTTTGGGGTTTGGGTTTGGGGTTTAGGGTTTGGCTGTTTGGGGTTTGGGGTTTAGGGTTTGGGGTTTGGAGTTTAGAGTTTGGGGTTTGGGGGTAGGGAACCCTAAAGGGGAAGCCTAGGCCATGAGCCCTGCCTTCTTTGATCAGCCGCTCGATCTCGCCGACATATGCCTCGGTGCAGCGGGCAGCTCTTGGGTTCAGGTAAGACAGCCCTGGATCTGGGATCTTTCTTGCTTGGAGATGGTACTTGATGTAAGTTACAGGAGTCGCTATAGTCACCATGATTAAAAGGATCCATAGGGGTTCTAGATGGTGCATGGCCTTTTCGAGTTCTGTGTCAAGGAACTTCATTTGAGTTAGCATACGAAGGATCTACAATAATTTTCTGTGCTTTCTGTACTACTGAGACCAGAAGCAGCCTTAAGCCCCGAAAAATCCCAAAATTCCAGTAACTTAGGTTTAAGTCCTCAACAAGATCTCGGAACCCTCAGGTGCCAGGCTGAGGGCACGCGCCACCTCCACAAGCGGAAAAGGTGCACACATTAGATATTGTGGAACATTATTCAGGTTTTATCATGCGCTAGCTATATCCATGTACATGAATGTGCATACAGACAGACATGCATCTTGTCATGCATACAGACATACATCTGTCTGTATGTCTGTATGTACAGACAGACGACAGATCAACAGATGGATAGATAGATGGATAGATGGAAAGATGGATAGATAGGTCGATAAATAGAAATAGAGGGATAGAGAGATACGGACATAGAGACATAGGGAGATAGACATCCCAAACATCAAACAACAATAAAGCATTTCCTCCAAATTCACTTGACTACCTGATCCTCACTCTGGGAAGCCTCTGCAGCTGCTGTTGTAGGGCTTTTGGATCCATCTGCTTGAAGGGGCAGCCGTGAACCTGCGCGCCGAGTCTTTCAGGAACTGTCAGAGCTGAACAAAAAACCGTTCTCTTCCCTCTGAGGCACCTGACGAAACTTTCCAAAATGAGAGAATAATACACTGTTCATGATGGTCGTAGGAAGGAATGCGACTAGGTGACTAGGACATTAAGAATCATGTGCTAGCTGTATGGAGTTATCATGGAATCATGGACGTGATACAGGAGTTGTGGGGCCATGGCTCTTTACAGCAAAGGTCGGCATAACCCTTGTGCCTTTTGCCGATACCAGTACAGTGAAACACGGCAGGGGCATCCTGCTGTTCAGCACGGATAGCGTCACCGCAGGCTTAGGGCAGTGCGGCTGATTCTGATGCCGTGCAGAGCTGGCTCCGGCTCGGGATTTCTGTTGAACAGCGACAGACGGGAGAATCGGCCAGCCAAGTCCAGCAGTCCATGCTGTGCGCCGCTGCTGAAGCACGGAACTTGCCCACTTGACTCCATCCATACTAGACTACGCTGCAGCCTTTCAAAGTCCCCTGCCATGTGGACTGCTGGGCACTGGGGAGACATTGCAGCCCCAGCATCGCCTTGTAATCCCTTTTCAGATACGTGGCTTCAGGCAAGTTCCTGTGATTCAGAACTCACCGAGCTCACCCTCAGATGTCAGAGTTACAACACGGTGTTCCGACATATTCCTTCTCAGCCACGGGCAGCTGGCCAGCGCGGCCAGCACCAAAACTTCCAGCAGTTGTTGGTCCACCCATTGTCCCAGCGGTTCCTTTGCCATTTGCATGGCATGGCATACGGCGGAAACCGAAGCATAAACCTGAACTGACATGTGTGGCTCCTGGACTTATCATAGATAAATGCCTTCGAATCGAAGAGCTGATTGTACCTGACAGCATGGGAGCTACTGCAACAGAGACATGGGGCTTGTCTGACTCTGAACTTCCGGGCACTCATCAACATCAAGATCGTCCACGGCAACAATTTGTCCATCACAGTTGGCTACCTTCGCTGTCTCTCTTCGCAACTCATCGAACACAGCCTTGCGATACCACTTGATGCATGAGCGCCGAGCAACGTAGTTTGTGTGGTGTTTCCATTCTTGACCCAGTTCATTCCTGCCGGTTCTAGGTTGCCACAAGTGTATGTACGGGCTGCCTACGATTATGTCGCCCACGATCCTCGCGATCAGGCCGATATGGATTCTGAAGATTGGCCTGAGCAGCTACAAAACTGCGCTGCTCGGTTTGCCCTGCACGTGAATTTCTCACTGCCACTGAGGTTGAGGACACTTCGATGGCCAGCAGCCCCACAGAGAATGCAAGGTGCGATCTCGGATGCAGAAAATCCCTCGCTTACACACGCAGCTGCTCAAAGACAAGCGAACATGCCCGATGTGACAGTCAAGGCAGGAGCACCACTGCTATCTCATCTTCCCACATGCCCTGTCCAGGACAGGCGAGCAAGCGAAAGATGCAGAAACAATCGCAGACGGGCATCACAAGGCCTTCTGTGCTAGTAGCAAAGCAAGATACCCGTCCAGGATGACCCCAAACCTCAAAATTTGTGGCATCGTCAAAAGCACGAAAGCTCAACGAAGACCCAAAACCAACAAGCACCTCGTCCGCTGAACAGCTGATGGGCTGAGGCAGTGGCAGCCCAATCACGCATAGGCCTGAGAAGGGCTCGCGGCCAACAACGACGATCCGTTCTACGAAAACACATTACTGTACCAGGGGCGGTCGAAAGTGTACCCGATCCCATCTACGAAAACACATTACTGTACCAGGGGCGGTCGAAAGTGTACCCGATCCCATCTACGAAAACACATTACTGTACCAGGGGCGGTCGAAAGTGTACCCGATCCCATCTACGAAAACACATTACTGTACCAGGGGCGGTCGAAAGTGTACCCGATCCCATCTACGAAAACACATTACTGTACCAGGGGCGCTCGAAAGTGTACCCGATCCCATCTACGAAAACACATTACTGTACCAGGGGCGGTCGAAAGTGTACCCGATCCCATCTACGAAAACACATTACTGTACCAGGGGCGGTCGAAAGTGTACCCGATCGCATCTACGAAAACACATTACTGTACCAGGGGCGGTCGAAAGTGTACCCGATCCCATCTACGAAAACACATTACTGTACCAGGGGCGGTCGAAAGTGTACCCGATCCCATCTACGAAAACACATTACTGTACCAGGGGCGGTCGAAAGAGTACCCGATCCCATCTACGAAAACACATTACTGTACCAGAGGCGGTCGAAAGTGTACCCGATCCCATCTACGAAAACACATTACTGTACCCGATCCCATTCTACCACGAAAACACATTACTGTACCACCAGTCGGGCGGTCGAAAGTGTACCCGATCCCATCTACGAAAACACATTACTGTACCAGGGGCGGTCGAAAGAGTACCCGATCCCATCTACGAAAACACATTACTGTACCAGAGGCGGTCGAAAGTGTACCCGATCCCATCTACGAAAACACATTACTGTACCAGGGGCGGTCGAAAGTGTACCCGATCCCATCTACGAAAACACATTACTGTACCAGGGGCGGTCGAAAGTGTACCCGATCCCATCTACGAAAACACATTACTGTACCAGGGGCGCTCGAAAGTGTACCCGATCCCATCTACGAAAACACATTACTGTACCAGGGGCGGTCGAAAGTGTACCCGATCCCATCTACGAAAACACATTACTGTACCAGGGGCGGTCGAAAGTGTACCCGATCGCATCTACGAAAACACATTACTGTACCAGGGGCGGTCGAAAGTGTACCCGATCCCATCTACGAAAACACATTACTGTACCAGGGGCGGTCGAAAGTGTACCCGATCCCATCTACGAAAACACATTACTGTACCAGGGGCGGTCGAAAGTGTACCCGATCCCATCTACGAAAACACATTACTGTACCAGGGGCGGGCGAAAGTGTACCCGATCCCATCTACGAAAACACATTACTGTACCAGGGGCGGTCGAAAGTGTACCCGATCCCATCTACGAAAACACATTACTGTACCAGGGGCGGTCGAAAGTGTACCCGATCCCATCTACGAAAACGCATTACTGTACCAGGGGCGGTCGAAAGTGTACCTTCCTGTGACACTCTGCTGATCCCTGCAAAGGATACGGTGGGCGCAGAGCCCACGAGCGAGTCAGCAGTGCATGAGCATCGGCATGATCCTTGTGGAATTCCTTCGGCTTGGCTCCCGGCAAACAAGCATCACAACGAACTCCCTGTGATTCAGGAGACCTCGAGCTTCCGAGACAGCACTATAAGATCGCCAGAAAGTAGGCGTGCAGGGCTTTCAACAGGTCTGAGAATTGCACCGATGGCGTTGTGCACCCACTTGCCTTATTCCGACGCTGCACAACAGCCGCAAGTCTGGATCAATTCCATCACCAGCTGCTGCTGCAGCGGCAATAATGATCGTAACGGCGTATCTTGTCACCGTACTGCCAGGACCTGGGAATCAGAACGAAAACCGCCTTGCCCAACAACCCAAAGCCTACTACAGTGTATCAACCCGGTGCCGGACTCATGAGCCCGCAAAGGGCGCCCACCCTGCCGTTTCAAACGCACTTGCTAGCTCCGGATTTCCGACACTGCCCCAGACCTGCTCCAGGTCACTCCCGTCGAGCGGGGCATTCCGGGTCTTCTTGAGTTGACCCGGGTCTGCCAAGGCGCAGTACCTGGAACCCAGAATCATGGGATGCCCACGAACGGAACCAACTGCCAAACAGGCCCAGGCTGCAGTATGAGGACCACGGTCACTGCAGCCAGGCCCACTTCGACGGCTGTCAAAGGAGCCTCGCCAGCATACTCGTACTCCACATCAGGTACAGCCTGTGGTAAGATCCTGCCTCGACATGGGACCACTTCTGCAAACGGCAGACTAGTGGAATCTGGATCATTGCGGTGCATAGTCCCCCAACCGCCTCAGTGCCCCAACCACCTCAACCACGGGTCCAGTGGTATCACAAATTGCCGTTGTCATTCTTCTCGGTTGCGGGCCACGGAAATGCCCAGTGCCTGCAATTGTAGCAGTAGCACAATGCAACAGAAGCCAACTTCGCCGCAACACAAGCCAGAACTGCAAAAGGCATTGCTGGCTTCACGTCGAAGCCAAAGTACACGTACTCTCCCCTCCTCGCTCAAGGATGGTCGTCTGGCCCAGCACTCTGCGGTGTTGAGGCTGCAACGCTTCTTCGAAAGCTGCCTCCTGGCCCGCAGGGAAAGAAAGTTCCGCATGAGCGTGCCTCAAAACAGGCCAGGGCGGCAGTTTCCTGCGCGGAGTCCTGTTGCGATGTTGGCGAAGAAGTCCTCAGACGAGCTGCCCTGCTACTAGTAGCTGCACCAGCACAATCAACACGGCCGAGGCTCGTTGGATGGTTTGCCGCCGTCATGGTTTGAGGCAGAGGCCTTCAAACCGCAAACATGCCATCATGCGACATGCCCAGGCCATACAATCGGCAAAGTTTGTCTGGAGCAGGACAGCTGAGGACTCCGCGGTAAGAGCCTGCCATACCTGGCATCGGGGCAACTGCTCAGGCGAAGCACAGGTTTGCACACCTTGCATTACGAAGTCGTCTCTGAGTCCGCGCGCGTTGGTGTCTGCTGTTGGGGCCCGGGCCAACCTGTCTTCGAAAGGGACCCGGAGCAAACGGACACGTCACGCCAACGGTGCAAAACTCAGGAGCCTCCAGCAGTCCATGTCTGGGGCAGGGACATGATTTCCCCCAAGCCCGCACGTCTCGCAAATTGAGCCAAAGACTACGGCAAAGAGCTGCAATGCATGAACCGGTACCGCAACACCAGTAGGCCTTTCCTCAGTTTAGTGCTCGCAACATCTTGCAACCATTTCAGCCACGCGAGGTTACCTAGATTCAGATAGACACCACTTTTGAGTGACATGCTCTGACGCAGGTTTGCGGCTTGTAGAGTGCGACAAATATGAGCCAAGACTGCAGATGGAAGCATGGAGCACTGGACTTCATTGGCTGGCAGATTCCATGAGAATCTCCCCTTCACAAGAGCCCAGAACCCGAAACTTTAAACCCTAAACTCCTAAACCCTCGGCCCTAAACTTCAAACTTCAACCCGAGATCCTGGCCGCCCTGAGCCCAAGGGAAAGGGCCTGACCAACCGCCTCACCGGGCATGAGGCGCACCAGAGCCTCACGAGAGTACGGACCTCCCTGAGGGCTTCAGGCTTGCGGGGCGTCTGGCACTGCAACATGGAAGAAAAAGGGGGGGGGCATACCGCCGATAGCTCCACGGTCTGCGACGAAAGGCCCGAATCCGACCTCTTGTTGGCCAGGTGACAGAGCTGTCAGCACAAGGCGGCTGAAGCCCGGCATGCTGGGACTGAAGCACCTGCCGCTTCAATCCCACGCAAGATGCGCGAGCAACCTGGCTACTTTCTGAAGGCCCCTTGTGCCCGGCCGGTAGAATTCTGAGAGCTTCACAGCGGCGGGATGAGAAACTTCGGTATGCAAAACAGCCTGCCAAGTCTGCCTGCGGCTTGTGTATGCAGCACCCTTCACCCGTCTTTCGGCATGTCACAGCCTCCCACTGTAGACCGGATGCCTTGACAGCCACCCTTTCCCCGAAGCACTGCTAGAGCCGATGAAATGGTTTCGTCGGAGCGGACAGGGCTCTTTAGTGGTCTGCAGTCCGCAAGACGAGATTTCATCGGAGGCAGAGATCTACCCAAAAAAACTCCACGGGTGGCGTCTGGAGCTGCAATGAGCAGGGCCCCAACTTTCCCCGCTGACACATTGCTTGCCAGCTCTCAACCCCGGCTCGCGACTTTGCGCGGCAGGCCAGCTTACCCCGTGCAAGCTCTGCCGACATTCTTCATTGTGTGTGCGTGCGTGCGTGCCACATCTGTGCTCTTGCAAAACCATAGCAGCCTGTGTGCGCACTTGTCTGCCTTGTTTTTAAGATCACATGTTGATGGCAAATGCTCTCACCAAGGGCTTCACTGCTTCGAAGTATCCTTGGACCAAGCTCTTAGAGCCAACACCCCGACGTAGTTGGGGATGTGAAGCACTTCTTCCTGCACCTCCAGACCGTTCTACTAAACTGAAGACCCACGCAACGGATACGAATATGGACGCGCCTGCTACTACGACGATACGACGACGAGGACGAGCACCGCGACCACCACTGCCAGTGCGACTCCGGGGCTCTACGATTAGCGAGACGAGCCTTGCGTTTTGTGCTACGAGTTTGCAACTTCTCTGAGGCCAAGGCGGCGATTGGCGCCGGACTGCCGGCCGACTCTCCCTTCGCGGCATCTTTGGCCTGTCGACGTGTCGTTTTCAGTCTGGGCAGACTCCTGGCCCAGGCTCCGAACACCTCAAACCAAACCCTCAACACAGCCCGCTTCCGCCGCTGCCGCTTCGTGGCCATGCTACCCTGGTCTAGAGAGGAAGACAACATCATTCACAGGGCGGCAAGGCTGGAAGACAATGCCTTCTTCTTGTGATAAACACCTGCAACAGCTCAGCCCCAGATGGCCGACGTCTCTGTCTCCACCAACCGGGTCTCGGGCAGCTCTCTTTGAAGAAATCCAGGGGACTATTGCCAACCTCGTAGAGGCCAGAAACACGGTGGAACCTGCCTCTGCCGCACGCCTAGACAAGGACTTGCCACATCTCGGTCGCTGCTGAGTGGTGAACGCCATCGCCCTCATGATTCGGATGCTGCGACCTGACTATACATAATACTAGGTGCAATCTGTAAAACATGTTCGTATACACACATAGCAGTTAAAGTGTGCATATGCATAGATCTACATGTATATAAATATATACACACATATGGGGCGAGCATACACTGTGTATGTGTATATATATATATATATATGTATGTATATACATATATAGTACTGCTCTTGGAAAGATCTGCCTTTAGATCAGCTACGGCACACAAGACGAAGCTCCAGCTCGCTCGGCCCAAGGCTTGAAGTACTCGATGCAGGCCTCCTGGTAACGCTTGCCTTGTTTAGGGTTTAGGGTTTGGGGTTTGGGGGTAGGGAACCCTAAAAGGGAAGCCTAGGCCATGAGCCTGCCTTCTTTGATCAGCCGCTCGATCTCGCCGACATATGCCTCGGCGCAGCGGGCAGCTCTTGGGTTCAGGTAAGACAGCCCTGCTTCTGGGATCTCTCTTGCTTGGAGATGGTACTTGATGTAAGTTACAGAAGTCGCTATAGTCACCATGATTAAAAGGATCCATGGGGGTTCTAGATGGTGCATGGCCTTTTCGAGTTCTGTGTCAAGGAACCTGATTTGAGTTAGCATACGAAGGATCTACAATGAATTTTTTCTGCTGTCTGAGACCAGAAGCAGCCTTGAGCCCCGAAAAAAACAAAAATTCCAGTAACTTTAAATTCCTCAACAAGATCTCGGAACCCTTCAGGTGCCAGGCTGAGGGCACGCGCCACCTCCACAAGCAGAGAAGGTGCACAGATTAGATATTGTGGAACATTAGTCAAGTTTTACCATACACTAGATATATCCATGTACATGAATATGCATACAGACAGACATGCATCTTGTCATACATACAGACATACATCTGTCTGTATGTCTGTATGGACAGACAGACGACAGAGCAACAGATGGATAGATGGAAAGATGGATAGATAGATAGATGGATAGATAGATACATAGAAATAGAGTGACAGAGAGATACAGACATAGAGACATAGGGAGATAGACATCCCAAAACTCAAACAACAAAAAAGCATTTCCTACAAATTCACTTGACTGCCTGATCCTCACTTTGGGAAGCCTCTGCAGCTGCTGTTGTAGGGCTTTGGGATCCATCTGCTTGAAGGGGCAGCCGTGAACCTGCGCGCCGAGTCTGTCAGGAACTGTCTGATCTGACCAAAAAACCGCTCTCTTCCCTCTGAGGCACCTGACGAAACTTTCCAAAATGAGAATATACTGTTCATGGTCGTAGAAAGGAATGCGACTAGGTGGCCAGGACATTAAGAATCATGTGCTAACTGCATGGAGTTATCATGGAATAATGGACGTGATACAGGAGTTGTGGGGCCATGGCTCTTTACAGCAAAGCTCGGCATAACCCTTGTGCCTTTTGCCGATACCAGTACAGTGAAACACGGGCACGGGCATCCTGCTGTTCAGCAGGGATAGCATCACCGCAGGCTTAGGGCAGTGCGGCTGATTCTGATGCCGCGCAGAGCTGGCTCGGCTCGGGATGTCTGTTGAACAGCGACAGGCGGGAGAATCGGCCAGCCAAGTCCAGCAGTCCATGCTGTGCGCCACTGCTGAACCACGGAACTTGCCCACTCGACTCCATCCATGCTAAACTACGCTGTAGCCTAACAAAGTCCCCTGCCATGTGGACTGCTGGGCACTGGGGAGACATTGCAGCCCCAGCATCGCCCTTCAGGCTTCAGGCAAGTTCCGCTAATTCAGAACTCGCCGAGCTCACCCTCAGATGTCAGAGTTACAAACACGGTGTTCCGACATGTTCGTTCCTTCTCAGCCACGGGCAGCTGGCCAGCGCGGCCAGCACCAAAACTTCCAACAGTTGTTGGTCCAACCATTGTCCCAGCGGTTCCTTCGCATGGCATGGCATACTGCGGAAACCGAAGCGTAAATCTGAACTAACACGAATCGCTCCTGGACTTATCATAGATAAATGCCTTCGAATCGAAGAGCTGGTTGTACCTGACAGCACAGGAGCTACTGCAACGGAGACATGGGGCTTGTCTGACTCTGAACTTCCGGGCACTCATCAACATCAAGATCGTCGACCGGAACAAGGTTTCCATCACGGGCTACCTTCGCTGTCTCTCTTCGCAACTCACCGAACACAACCTGGCGATACCACTTGATGCATGAGCTCCGAGCAACGTAGTTCGTGTGATGTTTCCATTCTTGACCCAGTTCATTCCTGCCGGTTCTAGGTTGCCACAAGTGCATGTACGCGCTGCCTAGATTATATCGCCCGCGATCCTCGAGATCAGGCCGATGTGGATTAGAAAGATCGGCCTGAACAGCTACAAGACTGTGCTGCTCGTGTTGCGCTGCGCGTGAAGTTCTCACTGCCACTGAGGTTGAGGACACTTCGATGGCCAGGAGGCCCACCGAGAAAGCAAGGTGAGATCTCAGATGCAGAAATCCGTCGCTTACACGCGCAGCTGTTCAAAGACGAGCGAACATGCCCAACGTGACAGTCAAGGCAGGAGCACCACTGCAATCTCATCTTCCCACATGCCCTGTCCAGGACAGGCGAGCAAGCGAAAGATGCAGAAACAATCGCGGACGGGCATCCCAAGGCCTTCTGTGCTAGTAGCAAAGCAAGATACCCGTCCAGGATGACCCCAAACCTCAAAATTTGTGCCATCGTCAAAAGCACGAAAGCTCAACGAAGACCCAAAACCAACAAGCACCTCGTCCGCTGAACAGCTGATGGGCTGAGGCAGTGGCAGCCCAATCACGCATAGGCCTGAGAAGGGCCCGCGGCAAACAACGACGATCCCATCTACGGAAACACATTGCTGTACCGCATGAAACGGGCGGTCGAAAGTGTACCTTCCTGTGACACTCTGCTGATCCCTGCAAAGGATACGGTGGGCGCAGAGCCCACGAGCGAGTCAGCAGTGCATGAGCATCGGCATGATCCCTGTGGAGTTCCTTCAGCTTGGCTCCCGGCAAACAAGCATCACAACGAACTCCCTGTGATTCAGGAGACCTCGAGCTTCCGAGACAGCACTATAAGATCGCCAGAAAGTAGGCGTGCAGGGCTTTCAACAGGTCTGAGAATTGCACCGATGGCGTTGTGCACCCACTTGCCTTATTCCGACGCTGCACAACAGCCGCAAGTCTGGATCAATTCCATCACCAGCTGCTGCTGCAGCGGCAATAATGATCGTAACGGCGTATCTTGTCACCGTACTGCCAGGACCTGGGAATCAGAACGAAAACCGCCTGCCCAACAACCCAAAGCCTACTACAGTGTATCAACCCGGTGCCGGACTCGTGAGCTCGCAAAGGGCGCCCACCCTGCTCCGGCATTTTCAAACGCACTTGCTAGCTCCGGAGTTCCGACACTGCCCCAGACCTGCTCCAGGTCACTCCCGTCGAGCGGGGCATTCCGGGTCTTCTTGAGTTGACCCGGGTCTGCCAAGGCGCAGTACCTGGAACCCAGAATCATGGGATGCCCACGAACGGAACCAACTGCCAAACAGGCCCAGGCTGCAGTATGAGGACCACGGTCACTGCAGCCAGGCCCACTTCGACGGCTGTCAAAGGAGCCTCGCCAGCATACTCGTACTCCACATCAGGTACAGCCTGTGGTAAGATCCTGCCTCGACATGGGACCACTTCTGCAAACGGCAGACTAGTGGAATCTGGATCATTGCGGTGCATAGTCCCCCAACCGCCTCAGTGCCCCAACCACCTCAACCACGGGTCCAGTGGTATCACAAATTGCCGTTGTCATTCTTCTCGGTTGCGGGCCACGGAAATGCCCAGTGCCTGCAATTGTAGCAGTAGCACAATGCAACAGAAGCCAACTTCGCCGCAACACAAGCCAGAACTGCAAAAGGCATTGCTGGCTTCACGTCGAAGCCAAAGTACACGTACTCTCCCCTCCTCGCTCAAGGATGGTCGTCTGGCCCAGCACTCTGCGGTGTTGAGGCTGCAACGCTTCTTCGAAAGCCGCCTCCTGGCCCGCAGGGAAAGAAAGTTCCGCATGAGCGTGCCTCAAAACAGGCCAGGGCGGCAGTTTCCTGCGCGGAGTCCTGTTGCGATGTTGGCGAAGAAGTCCTCAGACGAGCTGCCCTGCTACTAGTAGCTGCACCAGCACAATCAACACGGCCGAGGCTCGTTGGATGGTTTGCCGCCGTCATGGTTTGAGGCAGAGGCCTTCAAACCGCAAACATGCCATCATGCGACATGCCCAGGCCATACAATCGGCAAAGTTTGTCTGGAGCAGGACAGCTGAGGACTCCGCGGTAAGAGCCTGCCATACCTGGATCGGGGCAACTGCTCAGGCGAAGCACAGGTTTGCACACGTTGCATTACGAAGTCGTCTCTGAGTCCGCGCGCGTTGGTGTCTGCTGTTGGGGCCCGGGCCAACCTGTCTTCGAAAGGGACCCGGAGCAAACGGACACGTCACGCCAACGGTGCAAAACTCAGGAGCCTCCAGCAGTCCATGTCTGGGGCAGGGACATGATTTCCCCCAAGCCCGCACGTCTCGCAAATTGAGCCAAAGACTACGGCAAAGAGCTGCAATGCATGAACCGGTACCGCAACACCATTAGGCCTTTCCTCAGTTTAGTGCTCGCAACATCTTGCAACCATTTCAGCCACGCGAGGTTACCTAGATTCAGATAGACACCACTTTTGAGTGACATGCTCTGACGCAGGTTTGCGGCTTGTAGAGTGCGACAAATATGAGCCAAGACTGCAGATGGAAGCATGGAGCACTGGACTTCATTGGCTGGCATATTCTCCCCTTCACAAGAGCCCAAGACCCTACACTTTGAACCCTAGCCCTAAACCCTAAACTTTAAATGTTAACCCGAGACCCTGGCCGCCCTGAGCCCAAGAAGGGCCGTCCTGACCAACCGCTTCACCAGGCAGCCCGATTAGCTTCGCGCAGCCACAGCAGTTCTGACCTGTCGCTGAAAACTTACGGTTTAGGGGTTTAGGGAGCTCTTTGAGGGTTCGAATAGTATGGCGTACGCTGAACTCGACATTTAATACCCTGATAAGGCCTTGCAAATGGCCCTTCTTCCCGTAGGCGTGCTCGAGATCGTACATGTAGTTCCTGGTGGACAATTGGGGCCGCTTGGGGTGTTTCGGTGTTCCGTTGCTGTCAGACTTTTGAACCCCGCAACAGAGGTTGGGCTGTTTCTGGGGGTGCATCAGATAAGAACGCCGGCAGCACTTGTCGAACTTCCCGGAATCGATGGTTGGATCGCGGCACAGCTCCTGCCAGAAGTGGGGAAGAGGAAAACACGTCTCCTCAGGTTGATAGCATCATAGAACTCCTGCTTCCACCAGCTGACGGAGTCTTCGAAGGAGAAGCCGCAGTCCTGCACCCATGCGAAGCTCAACTTTGCTGCCCCTCAGCGCCTGTCCGCGGGCGATCTCAGGCCTTCAGGAAGGGTCGCAGCTGAAGCCTCCGGAGGGACTTCAATGAGCGGAGCTTCGAATCCGAGACCCGGCCCCGGGCACCTCCCTGCGTGCTTCAAGTGCTTCTTGGTCTCCCGCCTTAGCTGGCCGTCGGAAGCATCCTAGGCTCCAAACCCTTGAAACCCTAACCCCTTAAACCCTTCAAAGCCTTAGAAACCCTTAAACCCTGAAAAGACCCTTGGAAACCCTTAAACCCTGAAAAGACCCTTAGCCCAGTGCTGCCGGGCGGCTGCCTTTCTACAAGCCGCCGCATGCAGGGAGGTAGGGAGCCTCGGGTCACAGGCTAATCCCCCCCACTACTTGGAGGTTCATGGGTAGTTATAAGTAGGGTTATAAGAAGGTTAACTATAATTAAAACCCATATAAACCCATTTGGGGGACTTAACAACTACCCATGAACCTCATAGTATACCAGACCACTCCACTCTGCTCTGCTCCAGTCTACCACCCTACCCTAGCGCAGGCTACAACTCTACCCTACTCTACTGCCCCCACACTGCCCGCAAGGCTATGCCGTGCCGTGATTGATATAGCCAAGAGTGGGATCTAACTAGAGGACGTGAATAATTCGAATAGGATTTTGGTGCCCATAAATTATACTCTATTTATTATCAGGAAATAAGGAACCCCCGCAAAATAGCATAGGTCATTTTTTCCGGCCCCTATAGAAATTTAGGAAGCCGACGGGAGAGGAGTTCCTCGAAGTTGCCGAGGCTCAGCTTCTCGCCGGCTTCCTTTCTCAGCCCGCAGGAGAGCTTTGGGGTTTAGGGTTTAGAGGTTCATCGTTTAGGGGTTAGGGTCTAGGGGTTTAGGGTTTAGGGTTGACGAAAACTGACTGTAGGGCTTCAGCTGTAGGGCTTTTTTTGAGGGCTTTTAGCATGTGGGGTGGAGGGCTTAGGTTGTCGGGTTCTTTTGAAACCAGCTTCGGGTTTCGGGTTTAGGGTTTTGGGCTTTTGGGTTCAGGGGGCCGTCTGAGCAACTTCTGTCGCCTCCGTGGAAGAGGTGCGCATGGGCAGCACCAGCTGCATGCCCATCTCCTGCGCCAGGTCGGAATGGTCACTGGGGCAAAGACAGTAAGTCGAGTCTCTCAGTTGTTATAACTAGCCATGTATGTATATATATATATATACACACACATACATTATACATATGCCTCTTTGTCACTGTACGCATGACACTTGAAACCCCACTTCTTAACAAACATGATCCTTGAGTAAGCTTGAACCCTTTTGGAAGCTCGCGTGAAGTGGGGAACAATGCGCATGCTCATACTAGCAGTGATGAAGAAAACCACAATAATAAGCCCAACAGTTGAAAATGAGAAACTACTAATCATATGAATTAGTTCAAACAGTATGAAGAAAGAGAAGAAGAGGAAGGCATCACGAGAGCCTGCAGCTGCCGCAAGAAGAGACCCACTCGCGGATCGGCCAGGGCCATGTGGATACCTCACAGGAGATGAGATCAGCTTCCGGGTTCTTAGGGTCTAGGGTCTAGGGTTTAGGAGCTAGGGTTCAGGGTTCCGCGTTCAGGGTTTAGGGTCCAGGGTTCTAAGGTCCTGGGGTTCATTTAGGATTTCGGGTTGACGGCTTCGGGTAGTTTTGGGTGCTGCTGTCAGCCGGAAGCCTTGGAAGGCCACATCCAAGCTTGCTGCCAGGAGGTCCTCCGTCATTTTGGCGGGCTTCTAGGGCACTGTGCGAGCTACCAACTAAATCATTCTTCATCGGGGTTGGGCTGGTAAAGTCTGCCTGCAGCGGGTTTCTTCGTGTCTCGCCCTGCGGGCTTCCCTCGTCTCCATGCATCGAACAACCGCGACATGTTGCAACTCTTGCTTGGCTTGCGGTTGGTCCTTGAACTTCTTGGCCACGATCATTTTAAGCGAGCTGGCAGGAACATAGGCCTGCGAAATGACACAATCTCTTTGCGATATGACTCCCGAACGTGCGACTCTGCCCAATCTGCTGCCTTGCCCTTCTTGATCACTACCCTTCTCCCTGCGATAAATGCCGGAGGTACCTGCCAAACAGGTGCTCAGCGAAGCCTAACTCAAACATCCACTGCGAACGGTACCTCTGTAAAGGGCATCGCATAGAAGACCTGCTCCATCTCCGCGCGCCTCTGCAAATCACCGATTGCAGTATGTATTATCTTATCATATATTATATTCCGCTTTACTAGACTATATGACTATATTCTATGCTGTACTATATTATCTTTGATGTTATTCTAATGCATTCTATGATCTTAAACTTTCTTATGTTATATTAACTTGTAATGTCTTAAATTGTATGATATTGTATTACATACTGTGCAGCAGGGTAGGCCGAGGATCCCACCCGTCTCTCCAGGTCTTCACCTCAACGAGTCCGATTCGCGGCCACACAGAGCATGGCTGAACAAAAACGACTTTAGACTATGTAATGTTGTACCATACTATACACGATGCTCAAAGCTATAGTGCGTCATATTAAATACCATATACTATAGTACACCGAATACTATACTGAATCATACCACACACCATCATACCATACCATACTATACGAGTACAATCATGCAGACTATACCAGGCCAAGGTACACCAGCCGTGCATTTTTGGAGCATCGCGAGCGTAGGGCCCTCCTCGGACGGCTCCTCGAACCTTCCCGGCCGGACGGCTTGAGGGATTAGGGATTGGGGTGGAATTTCGGGATTAGGGATTCGGGGTCGGGATTAGGGTAAGGGCCGGTTAGGGCTTGGGCATCAAGTAAAGTTTAGGTGCAGGGAGTAGGGATGAGGGTTTCGGGATTGGGGATTCGAGTTTAGGGATTCCTTGCCCTACGGGATCCTCGCCTCTGCGCGCGGATGCCAGTGGACTCCACGAAAGCCTGTGGAAAGGGACCAGAAACAGCTCGTCTAAGAGTGCTTCTCTCTGGTGCCCCTGCCTCCTTTGCGTCTGTGTTCAGGCCCTGGCATCTTCCAGAAAGAGCCCTACAAGTACTGAGTCCCTAATAAGGGCCCTAAACCCGCTGCCGGGGAGCCTCGAAGCGCAAGACGAACAAGCGCTGCTCCTGCTTCAGCAGCCACTCGCGAGCCTCGTTTTTCCGTGGGGGTGTCGGGTTTCGCCAGAGCCAGAGCCACACGAACGCGAAAAAAACGCGGAACCCCAAAAGCCGAGCCTCGTTGCTCTTGCAGAAGGCCAGGCGCAAGGCGAAGTGGGAGATGTTGTCTCGACCTGACTCGAAGGATCCCTTACTACACGTCGCAGACAGCAGACCCACGCTTGAAACAGGTGCCACATATATCCGCGCAATGCCATGACGCATATGTAGGTGTGGCGCTCTGAAACTCAGCCTTTTCGAGAAGGAAGCCATTGACGCGATCCGCTTTAGGGTAACCTCGCAGACAAACGCAAGACATTCAACCGAGCCCCGCTTCCAGCATGTGGGAAAGAATGCTACAATCACGCACCCTGGGACCCTGCATGCCCTATTCCCGGCCTAGGCTCAGGCCACAATCGCGCAGGTCTCGTGCCAGCTGCGGCCTGCTGAGGACTTCCAAGCGTTGCCAGGATTCGATTTAACTCGGGTAGCTTAAAGCCCACACCAGAAACCTGACAGCACAGCCATAGTTGCTACAGTAGAGCTTGTTCGACATCGTCATCATCTTGCTGCAGGAGCCTCAGGGAGCCCATGTTCTCCAGTCGAAAATCGGAACCTCAGCGAAGAACGAGATAACAGGTAGCTTGTGGCAGCTTTGTGTCAAGATCCACCTAAGGACCTGAAGGAATCATGGGCCCCTGCTGGTGCCGGCTTTGCTGCGGCCGCCGCAAGCCTTGTCGATAAGGTGCAGAAGCTTGAGCCGGTTCACCGTAAAATCCTGCAGCCGCTGCCGTTGCTTTCACAACGCAGGTCCTGAGAGCAGAAGCCACGGGCTCCTCGAACTCGCGGACGCTGACTTCTTCCTCGCGAAGACGCGCTCGGGCCAGACAGACACGCACACACACACACACACACAGATACAAATACACAAATGAACACGCACCCCTGAGGCCCTTGACGTTGGGAGGGATCCTGAGAGAGCAGACACCCGGTGTGATTTTCTGCTCTGGAGCTCGGGCCGGGCCCCCTACGTGTACATCGAGAGGCCCAGGTCATCGGTCTGGTAGGGATTCTTCCTTTCTCCACGCTCTCCACGCACCACCAAGGCCTGGCAAGGGAGCCCTACACCACGAACACCCGAAATCCAAATCTCTGATAATCCCACGGACACCCAAGAGACCCTGACTCGGAGGCGGTTTCATCTAGCGCAGGACCACGTCTCTTCCAGCCTGGCCCGGGGGGGCCCGCACCCTCTGCATGGCAACCTGTCACAGACAAGGCACTTTGGAGCATCGAAGCCACAGGCTCAGCGGTCTAGTCTTGGGGGGGATTGGGGGTTCGGAGGCTTAGGGTTGAGGGTTAAAGTTAAAGGTTTAGGCTTTCGGTGGGGTAGTGGGGTGGCGACGAGCACTGATCACAAGAGGCACCTTGCAAGTCGCCGGTCCGTGTTTTGGACTAAGCTGCTTCGATCGAGCCAATCGGAAAGCCGCAGCGAGGGTGTGTAGGGCTTAGGGATTGGGTTGGGTTTAGGGTTTGGGGCTAGGTGTTGGCTCTGGCGACGGACGACCAGCGCAGAAAGACTAAGAGCGGACAAGCCCCCTTCTGCGTAATCCCTAAACCCTAAACCCCTGAACCCAAAGCTCTAAACCCCTTTTTTTCTCACTCCTCCTGTTCCGCAGAAAGCTTCTCCTCCCGGCGCTTCAGCCGCTCCTGGGGGCAGCAGACGGTTCTGGGCTCTTGGGTCTTGTTGCGCATTAGAGCCACGGCTTGGGTTTAGGGTTTCGGGTTTGTGTCACCAGAAGTAGGCGTAGAAAACAGAGCAGGGCCACCTCCCGCATGGCTTGGTTGACCTCGTCCAGCTTGGAGTCCTGCCCGGTCATGATTCAGCGTGCGATCAGCAGAAGCAAGCTCAGACTCCTGCATCTCATTGTATATGCACAGAAGTGGGACCTCGGATCAAAACGGATGTGTAACAGACACGCACCTGTGCTTCTTCCCAAGCTTGACTCGAGGAGAGGACTGCCACCAGTGCAAAGTAGAAGATGGGTGAACCCCACCTGGGGACCAACAGGACCCTAGCAAAGACTCCACGAAAATCTCAGGCATCGAAGCCATGGAAACTCAGCTCTCGGCGGGAGCAGGTGATGCGGCCTGACGGTCACAAACGCGTTCAAGGCTGGTCCTGCAACGAGCCCCAGAGGTCCCGGCAGGAACATTTCCGTTGCGGCAGGGGCCTTCTGCAGAGGCCAGGCTCGGCTTTAGGCTTGGGGTTCAGAGTGTAGGATTCAAGGATTTAGAGTCTAGGCAATGACCTGTCTTACTTCTTATCAAGACCATCCACTTCCACTTCGCCATGTTTCACGGAACTTCTCGGCAAAACTTGCGATGTCACGGGCAGAACGCGACGCTTGCAGTGACAGGGATCTGGAGGCTGAAAGGCAGTGCCAAGGTACCTCGTTCACGGACTTGTTGTTTTGGCTCTGTGGGGCAGCCGAACCTGAAAAGCAAAACATGCTACTCAACCGGTCCACGTGGTGAGTTGCAAACACACGCGAGCTGAAGACTGACCCTACACGAGCTCCCACCATACACACTGTGGCCACGGCCAGAGCAGGTTCGAGCTCCAACATATCTGCCTCAGGACAAAGGGGCAAAAAAGACTCCATGCACCTGCAGAATCCCTAACCGTTAACCCTGAAGCGCAAAGCCCTAAACCCGAAGCCCTAAACTTCGCGAAAAAATCCTGGCACCTGCAACGACCATCTGCAGCCGTGACCGGCCGCAGCCGCGCATGGCCCGGTCTTCTATTGACGAATGAACGAGGTGTCGATTTCAACGGTCCCCAAAACTATGGAGTCTATATTAAACAGTAAATGAGACCCAAAACTATGCATATTTCAGGCTTCGAATTATCCCAAAAGTCCACAAGCCCGTCAAGTGTCCTGAAGCTTCTGTGAACATAATGAAGTCGTTGAGATGACATGATGTGCGGGGCTACAAACTATGGCTCCTTGCTGGGCGACCCAGTCTTGATGGGTGCAGACATCCATGCTGCATTGCTGAGCGGGCGAAACTGAGAACATTGGGGCAATCACGGCAAGTCAATGCTTCAGCGCTTCTGCGTGGTCACACGAAACTCTGTTTTGGCCAGGAATACAACTTCAAGAGCTTAACAACCTGCAACCACTGATCACAGCAAATGCTCTGACTGCCAGCAGCACGATTTTGCTCTGACCTTTGCCAGATCTGGCCGAAAGGCGTAACGTCTGCCTTCCGGGCAGCGGGATGGTCAACAGACCGATTCCAGCAACTGGACTTGAAGATGAGGGTTCCCGGTTTCATGCCCTTGAAAGCCCGCTGGGAAGCCTTAAAGGACTACTGCGAACTCCCACATCCGTCCTTCTCTTCATGCGTCTTCCCTGTGTAGCCTCAACTTTCACAAGTGGCTCCCACGCTTCAGCGTCCGTGGTTTCCGTTCAGGACCGGCTCCTTTGCCGGCAACCGTAAACTCCAAAAGCCTTGACCTCAACCCTAACAGGCTTGACAGCCTTCACCCAAAAACATGGCTTCAAGCAGTTGCAGGCACCTGAAAGGGGCCGTCGAGGCGGGTGCATTAAACGTCAGCCAGGCGCGTCTACTGTTTTTAGTGACTCGCATGCTCAAACCTACCCAGTTTGTGCGCTCGATGGGGGAACAGTTTGGCCAAACTGCTCTCGGCATGCATCACACCTCCACGCGGTGCCCCCTGGAAACCCACCTTCAGGCGAACCGCGGCCATTTTCGACATGGTGCATGATCATCAGAAACACTTTGGCCAGCATACACTTTTGACAATCACTTATCTAAGTCGCGGCTGCGAGCCTAGCATTGCATCCACGAGTGAACAGGCACTCCGCTCATTCCGCTCATTAGACGGGAGAGCACTTTGTCATTTCGCTCTCCGACTTGACTCATACTATGCTCTCCTGCTGGGGCTAACGCCACTCCCCGACCCGTCGGGGCGTTCCCCTATATAGGGGAAGGCGAGATGCACAAAGGGCGTTGAAACTTAATCACACGCAGGCGTTGACACACCGTTTTTCCTTGGGGACTCGGTTAAACAACGTGTCTCCTCGGGTGTGTTTCTTCGTCCTGGACTAGCGGGTGGGCGTCGATATTCCAAATCTGGCGGGTATGTCGGAACGTTTGATCGACACTCTTCGCCTCTCACGCATACTATTTTTCCCGCGCTTCTGTTCGTTTCGCAGGGGAATATGAATGGGACTCCGGAACCACAACTATATCACAGAAGATGGTCCTACACATTCGTTTTTGGCACCCGGGAAGCATGAAATATATTTTTAGACAGAAGCCGGTCCTTCACCTTCATTCTCATACACCACCACAAGACGGGTCCTCTGGCCCGCAGCGTCCTCAGGCGCAACACATCACCGTCGTCCGTCGTTTGGGTCCTCTGGCCCGCACCCTCGGGTGCAAAGACGTCGTCGTATACAGGGTCCTCTGGCCCAAGCATCCTCATGCGCACCGCTCCGACACGCGCAGAGCATCATTCTGCATATGTGTACTTCCTAGGCATGTACAATCATTCCACCTCGCGGCGAACACTTCCCTATGAAAACCGAGCTTTTGAGGCCATTGCATCTTTTTTTCGATGAACCTTAATCCGAGGATTATGCGACTATACCAGGAAGTCCGTTCTAATAGCAAGGTAGTGTGTAGCCCGGCGCTCGCCAGTGAGTGCTCATGGTCTTCCAGCAGCAGCAGCAGCAGCAGCAGCAGCAGCAGGCACCTGATATCGGATAGGTATATTTGCGCGTTCCAGATTTGGAGGCTCACATCAACCCATGGCAACACATTCGGGAGTTCTGCGCCTTGTGCGGCGCCCCGATGATCTTCGTCTCCTGCCGGGGCCAGCTCATAGACGCCTACCAGCCCCCGGTCAAGGAGAACAAAGCCGTGGCCTTCACATAATTGCACAGGAACTAAGCCCATCCCGCGTCTACAGTGGCCTTCTGCGTCGCAACTTGCAATGATGCTGATGCTGACCGGTTCCGCCACATGCTATGCGCATCCAAACTTGGACCCGCACCCACGACCAGCCATGGCTGCCGCCGACAGAATAGATACGAATATACACGGTTCGTCAATGCAAACATAGCAACAGCATGTTCAATGTGTCACATGGCACCCATCTCATTTGAAGCTCGTGTTTCTAACACGTTTCAGCTCGTGTGTCTCACATGTCTCAACTAAGCGCGAGAAGGGCTGTTGCATGTTTTTCGTTGTCACATGCATATGCATGCCTGCATGCTGCATGATGCTTCGGCATTGCAACGCTTCTGTGGCCGATCAGGGTTCGGAGCGCCGCTCGCAACTCTAAGAAGCAAACATGCGGTGTTGCAGCCAAGCGAGCCTTGACTCCTAGACATGCTCTGAGTGTCTGCCTACCTCTGCCGTGCTGTGGTGGGCAGCTGCAAGCCAACACGTACTTTCTTGCGCTGGATAGAAAAGCGAGGCGCAGGCAAACCTTCCTCATCGGGTTTGTGCCTGCAAGCCTCTCGGCAAAAGTAGGGTTTGCCCGCCAGGAAGAAAAGCCAGAGGCATACAAATCACTGGCTGGTGGCTGCAGCCAGAGTGAGAGACTCCGGCTCCGTGTATGCATTGAAGTTGCGTCTTGACAGGGCGGCACCACGGGGGCTGACACAAGCAAATAACATAGAGTGGGGCAACTGGTGTCTTGGCTGCGTGGTGAATCGCCCGTTGATTAAAACCTCACTTGAGGCAACAGCCTTGAGCTACAACTGCTTCGCAGTCCGGTCTTGGCTGTGCAGGCTGCTCATGTCCAGCTAATTGTAAAGGTGTGGGAACAAACACCAGCCCCTCGCACCTGAAAAATTCTAATCTGGCATGCCAGGCAACACGGCCCGAAAGTCGTTTGAAATCTCCAGGCCCCTCACGCTGGCCTTACCGTCCACTTCCAGTACTGAGTGCCCTGCTTGATCTGAGCCCGACGAAGCACTGGAGTGTCGGCGCCCACGCTGCTGGCCTTCCGGCTCACTTTCGGGCTCCTTCTGCTCGCCATCCTCTGGCTGCAGGTACCACTTGTTCTTGATTCTCTTCCTGATGCCTTGACTTCGAAGTGCGCACGTGGCGATTGTGCCCAGGGCCAAAGCCATGCCCAATGGCAAGAGCACCATGTCCTGAAGTAGGCTCATCCCAGTACTCTGGTACCATTTGTGGGCATCTTCAAGCTGAGCGTTTGCAAGGAACATCATGATGTATGCCAGGCACGTGATCGTGTACACGAGCCAGAGCAACCAGAAAACATAGGAACGACAGCGCCACCAGGCCAATTTCCAGGCCTTGGCCGCTTCGGTCCACTGCTTCTTCTCCGCGGGGCTGCGAACTTGCACGAGGAAGAGAGTGAAAATAATGCAATCACCGAGAAAAGCGGACAAAAAACCCACGATGCAGTTCTGGACCAGGGCCTCAAAGAAGCTGAGCTTCTGCCGACAACCAGGGTCATCATCGGGACTTGGCGTGGTGCTAGTGAAGAAGAGCGCATTGGTGGCGCCCGCGGTGCATAGCTTCAGGAAGACGAGGGCAACTCGCACCGTATAAGGCGTCAATATGCTGAACCGCAATAATGCGATCCAGGGGTGGAATGCAGGAACTAGCAGGCAGATGCGGCTGCACCACCCTCGCTGAAGGATAGACTCCACAGCACTGGCCCCGTGAAGGTGAACTTCCCATCGAGCACTGAGGTCTCGCACTGCCGTTGCGAATTGATTGACATTCTGGACCACGGACTGCATCAGACGTGAGAAGCGACTCCGACGAGCCTGGGTGTGCGAGACTTGCCTCGGGACGCTCTCCTCGACTTCGAACTTCTCGTTGGTGAGCAGAATCTCCAGGCTGTCCAGAGCCACTCCGCATCGATGGGCGTGGAGGGACCTGATGCACCGGTTCACGCTGGCTTCTGGAGCGTTCGGGATCGCTTCCGTGATGAGCTGCAGAATGTTTTCCACGCCGAAGCAGATGCCCGTGCACCAGCAGCACCACTCCTTCAGCTGAACCAGACCGTAGCGGCAGCACGCCCAGGCGGGTCGGACTCGTCTTCGAGGCAGCTCCTCGTCCGAAGGCGAAGCCTCGCGAAAGAGAACTGGCTCGAGTTCCTCCCAGGGAACCATCTGCTTGTCACGGCGGTCCATGTAGGCCGCGCGGCTCTGGATGGCCAAGAACAGGGCTATGAAGACGAAGGTCGAAACTGATGGCAGGCTGCCCATCCACTTCCGGCGTCCCATGAGCTTCTGAAAACCTTTCTCAGACATAAGAGCCCATGCCGAACTGCAAGAGATGACTGCAGCAGCCCTCTCGACTATGATCTGCAAGACTCCGGCGAAAATGGAGAGGTGAGTGGTCAAACAAGTGAGCTGAGCCGCGGTGCTGGACAGGGTGGTCAGGCCCTTGCTTGACCATCGGCTCTCGTCCTCGTCCCAATAGGAACATGTGGCATTGGGGTTCTTCACCTTCAGAACGATTTCCATGGGGGTTTGCAGCTCCCCGATCTTCAAGTTCGAGCCATCCGGGCCTCTGAGGTTGATGCTCAAAGGCTCTGACTGTAGGGTCGCTGCAAGCTCACCTTCGACCTGCTGATCTGCGAAGTTCTTGGCAGTCTCATCTGACATACTAGTCAAGCTCAGGAGCACCGGCCCAGAGACACCTGTTTTCTCAAACAGCTCAGCCGCTTGAGATAGGATTGCAGCAGGCATCTCCACCTTTGCACCCGTCTCGCCAGCAGAAACCGCCACGCTTCCTCCGGCAGCCTCCACTGCCTCGGGTGACAGGGCTGCCACCTTCAGCGTGCCTGTCTCGGTCGACATGGAAACTTGCCCCAAGACTCCGCCGGTTTCGGTGCTGTTTGCGGGAGAGGCGAAATCGAGGATGCTGAGAAGCTGTTGCACACTTTCCTGCTCAGCCGCATCCACTGCCTCTGCTGCTGCTGCAGCTTGCTCCTTCCTTTGCTCCTCTTGCCTTTGTCTGGCTGCCTCTGCTGGGGTGCCTGGGGTCCGGGTGGTGCTGCTCTGCGACAGGGTTGTGGATGTGCCGGAGCCCGTAGTGCTGCTGCTGGCACTGCTGGTTGTGCTGGTGCTGCTGGTGCTGCTGGTGCTGGTCGAACTGCTAGACGTGGTCGAAGTGCTGGACGTGGAGCTGCCAGTCAAAGACACGCTAGACGTGGAGCTGCTCGTCCTGGAAGTGCTGGAAGTAGAGCTGCTAGTTCCGGAAGTGCTGGTTACGGAGGATGATGTTGTCACGCTTGATGCCGTTGTACTGCTGCTGCTGCTGGTCTCTGTCGTGGAGCTGCTACTGGTGCTACTCCCCGACGTCGACGTGCTGCTCGTCGTTGAGGTGCTGGTGCTGCTGCTGCTGGAACTACTGCTAGACGTCGATGTAACACTTGTCGTTGAGGTACTGGTGCTGACGCTGCTGGAACTGCTGCTGGACGTCGATGTAACGCTTGTCGTTGAGGTACTGGTGCTGACGCTGCTCGAGCTGCTGGCCGACGTTGATGTGCTGCTTGTCGTTGAGGTGCTAGCGCTGGAGGTAGTACTTGTAGTTCGCGTATGGGAGCTGCTTGTGCTGCTGCTTGATGCGCTGCTGGTTGTTGACGTGCTGGTGTCGGTGCCGCTCTTCGTGCTGCTCGTCGTGAAGCTGCTGGAAGTGGAGCTGCTCGTGCCCGTCCTCGTAGAGCTGGTGCTGCTGGACGAGAGGCTTGTCGTCGATGTCCATGTAGCTGTATTGGTACTGCTGGTTGTCGACGTGGCGGTGAGGCTCGCAGTGGTCGTGGTTGTAGGTTTGGTACCAAACTTCACAGCCGGAAGAGAGTCTCCCATCTCTCCAGGTTCATCTCCCACTTTGCCAGAATGCTCCTGGCCATGCCAGTCCCCCCAACACTTCACTGTGTCGTCGTTGAGGAGGGCGCAACAACCATCAAACATTGCCACGATTTGTTTGACTGTCTTCCCAGTACCCACATCAACGGGCGGCAGCTTGTCTCCTAGCTCATCTGGCTCATCCCCACCTAGGTGGGGTTTTAAAGCCTTTGAAAAATGTTAGTAAGTAAGATCCTCTTAAGCCCAATAAGGGAAAATTTAAAATGTCCCAAAGCCCAACCCAGTCCACGATTCTCTGTGTCTCCTTGGCCAAGCTGGCCGTCTGTGTTGCGACCCCAGCACTTCACGGAGTCGTTGTCCAAAAGCGCACAGCCAAAGTAAAGGCCCACTGCAATCCTTGTTCATTCTTGGGATAGGATTTAGAATTGACAGTTTTTTACTCCTTATTGGGTTGAAGTACCCAAGACATGTAAAATGTTACCCAACCATGACCCAGAATCTGCTTCGCAGTTCGGCCCGTTCCCAGGTCCACCAGGGGGGCGCTGAGGAGCGGCTTGGAGCTTTCAGTCCCACGTCCGACCGTATCTCCGGAACCCAGACCCCCATCCGTACCACTTCCCCAACACCTGACCGTACCATCATCCAGGATAGCACACATGAGGTGCTGGCCAGAAGCTATGTCCAAGGCCGTCCTGGATTCACCAAGGTTGATCGGGTCCACGGTGCTGGGATCATTGATGAAAGTATTCGAGTTATCTTGCCCCAGGGTGCCCATGTTCCTCCCCCAACATTTTACGCTGTTATCGTCCAAGATGGCACAGAAGCTGTTCAAGCTGTGAATTAGCTTTTTGGCCGTGCGGTCAGTTCCGAGATCCACTAGAGGCAGATAATCTCCCATGGTATTCTCGCTCTTTCCTGCCCCTCGGACTCTGTACGCGTAACCCATTTGACCGTAGTTGCTATTCCCCCAGCATTTCACGCCACCATTGTCCAGCAAAGCACATGCAACAAACTCTCCTGCGGCTACGTGTTGCGCTGTCCGCCCACTTCCGAGATCAATGGCAGGGATATCAGTTCCGGCAGCAAGGGGCGTGTCATCGGCGAGGCTGGGCGTCCCCGAGTAACCATCTTTATTCTTTCCCCAGCACTTAGCCTCGCCATTATCAAGTACGACGCAGAGGTGAGCCAGATTGAACCGTCCGACCTGCACCCACATCAATGACTGGTAAGAAATCACCCATTGTGTTCTCGGAGTTTCCCCGATGGGCCACCGTGCCGAGCATGCCTTCGGGGTTGTACCCAAAGCACTTCAACGAGGAGTCTTCCAAGATGGCGCAGTATGCCGACGCCATTCCTCCAGAAAGCAACCGTTGCACGGAATATGTTGCGGAGGCGCAGACTACGAATCCGAACCCAAGCCAAAGGCCACACATGGCGCCAAAAGCGGGAAACGCGAAGCCAGGCTCCTGTCTTTCTGCCTCGACTACCCGACACTCCGCATATCTTTCATCCCTGTTCACATGAGACCAAAAGCTGTACGGATCCGTTGTTTCTGGCTGGGAAGCACGGAACCCACTCTTGAAAAACGGCTTCAACCATCATAAGATCCAGGCATGGCTCGCACCGAACAACAGCAGAACTCACACCGCGATTTTGAAATACCATTCCCACGCCCTGCAGCTTCTCAGGAATGACTGACACTGGAAACACAAAAAAAAAGTCCCCTGGCATCGGAGCTTTGCCCCGCCTCGGCACTGAAATGTCCACAGATCGATCATAAGTAATACAAGCAGCATAGCATGGCAGTACAGGAGAAGTTCAGTTTTTTATATACACCTTACAGCAGGCTGTCACTTCGTGCTCTCCATGTATATACTCGCATGCGCTGCCCCATGCAATCGGCCCACAAAAACGTTGATCGGGGCGATTCTGGTCCTTTTGCCATTCCATGCTCCGGGCTCAGGCCTGAATGAAGACTCTACTGAAAGAGGAGCATGTCACGGAACCTGAATTGGAACGCTCGCCAGGCAACCAGCAACGAGTCTCGTCAACACAGTCCGGCCTGGCACACAAACAGCATTGCGTCAGAGCCCAGCACGCAGCACCACTCCTGCATGATGCACATGCCAGATGTATCAGACGTTGCATCCGACCGAAGATCCCCACCAAAACAACACATTTCAAGTTCGGTGCCTAGTCCGAAGAGATAGGTGCCGTACCATTTTTGCAGGATGTTCACGTTGCTAATCGCGCTGATAGCCAACGGCAGCAGTTAAACAATACTCAACATAGTCCGTCCTCATATGATCGATAAGCAATCTTGCAGAAATGGCAATCACCTGTCTTACTTCTTAGATATCAGCAACCATCCACTTCGCCATGCTTCACGGAACTCCTCGGCAATGCTTGCGACGTCACGCGCAGAACACGACGCTTGCAGTGACAGAGACCTGGAGGCTGAAAGGCAGTGCCAGGGTACCTCGTTCACGGCCTTGTGGTGTTGGTTCTGTCGTGGGGCAGCCGAACCTGAAAAGCTCACCCGTCACACGTGGTGAGTTGCAAACACACGCGAGCTGAAGACTGACCCTGCACGAGCTCCCACAATACACACTGTGGCCACGGCCAGAGCAGGTTCGAGCTCCAACATATCTGCCTCAGGACAGGGGGCGAAAAACTCCACGCACCGGCCGAATCCCTAACCCTAAACCCCAAATCCCTAAACCCTAAACCCTGCAATCCCAAAAAAAGTCCTGGCACCTGCAACGACCATCTGCAGTCGGCACCGGCCGCAGCCGCGCATGGCCCGGTCTTCTATTTTCGAATGCTTGGTTGCTCAGCTCATGAGCCCCAAAAAGTGTACAGTGTACACTTTTAGTCTTATAGTGGGTAATATTATCCCAAAAGGTGTAAAGTGTATCCACTCAGCTACTAAGAATGCAAGCTAGGTGTCGATTTCAAGTGTCCTGAAGCTTCTGTGGGTGCCAGGATGAGCATGCAGTGCACATCATTGCACTGGCGGAAGGATGTCTGTGACAAAGCTACTGCGGTGGCTGTGAAGAAAGCTTGGGTCATGGACCATGCAGAGATCAAGGCCTTGAGATGGCATGATATGCGGGGCTACAAACTCTGCCCCTTGGGCGAGTGCAGACATCCATGCTGCACTGGGCTGACACGAAACCTTGTTTTGGCCAGGAATACAACTTCAAGAGCTTAACAACCTGCAACCACTGATCACAGCAAATGCTCTGACTGCTGGAGACGATCCACTCGAGCGATCCCCACGAGGGCTCCTCGAGGATGTTCGACCGCCTGCGGACGATTCGGCGTTTGGCCCTCTGTCGGAGCTCGAGCGAACCCCACTCGGACCGTTGTCGGAGGACGATCGACCGCCTGCAGATCCGCCGGCACTCGGACCGAGCAGAAAGCCTCTTCGCATGGTGGCAGGTCAATCTATTCAGGGATCCCTTGAGTGATTGAAATCGCTGCAGCAAGCAACCATGCTGAAGGGTCAAACGACCAAGGTACCCAAGTGACAGAACCATGCAATCCAAGCAAACAACCAAGGAGAAACAAGCAAGGTGCCCAACCGGCCCACCAGCCAAGGCAAGCGAGCAACCATTTTTTTACCTGCAAATCGACCAAACGACCAACCGACCAAGCCAAGCAAGCAACAAGTGCGAAACAAGGGTGAAACATGCAAGGTGCACAATCGGCCAACCAACCAAGTCAAGCGAGCAACCATGCTAAAACAATCAAATCGACCAATCGACCAAGCCAAGCAACCATGGTGACACAAGAGTGAAACAAGCAAGGTGCACAAACGGACAACCGACCAACCGACCAAGCCAAGCAAGCAACAAGGGCGAAACAAGGGTGAAACATGCAAGGTGCACAATCGGCCAACCAACCAAGCAAAACTGCCAAAACAATCAAATCGACCAACCGGCCGACCAAGCTCTCGGTGGGGCTTCCTACGGCTCTCGGTGGGTTGGCTCTCGGTGGGGCTTCCTACGGCTCTCGGTGAGGCTTCCTACGGCTCTCGGTGGGCTCTCGGTGGGGCTTCCTAAACGGCTCTCGGTGGGCGGCTCTCGGTGGGGCGACGAGTTTTCCGGGGCTCGGACTATTTTTTCCCGAGGGTCCCGACGATATTTTCCAGGATCCCGACGATATTTCTGGATTCCCGACTATATTTTTGCAGGTCCCGAGGGTCCCGACGATATTTTCCAGGATCCCGACGATATTTTTGGATTCCCGACTATATTTCCGGAGTCCCGACGATATTTCCGAAGTCCCGACGATATTTCCGAAGTCCCGACGATATTTCCGGAGTCCCGACGATATTTTGGCCAGAAATGCATTCCCGACTATATTTTGGGTTGCTTTGATGTCCCGACGATATTTTGCCAGCCCCGACGATTTTTCTTCGGAGTCTGACGATAAAATATAGCCAAAAGCATGTCCAGGTGACGCTGCGGGGGCGGGTCCATCTGTGCGACACCGCCAGCCCGCACTTCGAGCTGCGCCACCTGTACGTGGGCGCCTCGAGGGCCACCAGCGCCGAGCTGCTGTCCGTGCTCTAGGCGCGTTCAAACCGCCACCGGCCCCTGGGAGGGCCCAGAGGCACCGGGCGGGGCTGCGCCCTATAGGGTCAAAGGCAGAGGATTCGATTCCTTCCAACAATTCGCAGCCATGACCGGCAAGACGTGCCCTCAGTGCGCCAAGGTCTTCTCGCGCGCCGGCGTCATGCGGGCCCACCTCAAGGCGGTGCACCTTGGCGAGAAGCCGTTCCAGTGCCCGCAGTGCCCGAAGGCCTTCGGCTACAAGCAGGCGCTCGACGAGCACGCGCGCATCGCCCACCAGGACGTGCGCCCGCACGCCTGCACCGAGTGCGACCGGCGCTTCCACAAGGCTGCCGACCTGAAGAAGCACCAGGCCATCCACGCCCGCAAGGGCTTCGTGCACCGGTCCTCAAGGGAGGAGCGCGTGGCCCGCCTGCTCGAGGAGGAGGGCCTGGCCTTCGAGCGCGAGGTGCGCGTGGACTTCGAGGGCGGCGGCCTGGCGCGCCTGGATTTCCTGCTCCGCATGGACTGGGGCCTCTGCGCCCTGGAGGTCGACGAGGGCGCCCACTGTCTTCGCGAGCAGGCGGAGGAGGCGGAGCGCATGCTCAAGGTCCGGGCCCGGCACTCCAAGCAGCCCCTGCGCTTCGTCCGGTTCAATCCCGATTGCTTCGGCGTGGGCGGGCAGCTGGCGGAGGTTCCGCAGTCCTGCGCGCCGTCCGCGAGCCGCCGCGCCAGGACTTCGAGGTCGTGTATCTGTGCTACGACCAGGCCCAACCGGATTCGCTGCTCCCGCAGGTTTGCGAAGACCCAGGCTTTCCGGAGGAGCTCAAGCCTTACGTCAGAACGGACACTGGATCTGGGGCGGGGCCGCCTCCATGAGCATCAAATCCGTGACCTCCATGAGAATGCCCCAGCTGGGCGGCATCAGCCAACACTGGCGCAGCTCGACTTTCACCTTGCAGCTACGGCCGGCCAGGTCCCCGAACTCCAGAAGCGGCTGGCCGCTGGTGTCCCAGACGCGCACGCGGTCCCAGTTCAATTTGAACTTGATGAAGCTGTTCCCGCGGGCGCTGGTCCGCAGGCAGCTCTGCATGCGAGCCTCCACTTCGTGGGGCGCCAGGGACTTGCCGAAGATCTTGGTGTCCGAGAAGGACTGCTTGGACAGCAGCTGCACCACCTGCTGCTCGATCTCCGCCAGCTCCCGCCCGGCGGTCTG